ACTTATATTGAAGTTTTTGTGTTTGCTTCTGAACTGTACATATATTGTTTAAATTTGATATAATATGGCTACCGCCACATTTTTGGATGGACGCGGTGGCTGCTGGACTTAGTGTCACTTACTAGTTATTGTGTTGGATACTCTGCGGAGTAATTTAACCCTGGAAGGAACACAAATTCCGTAAGACTTTGTATTTCCATTTTATAATAATATAGAGACGTTTTCTCCTAGAATTTTGCCCTTTTTGATTTGGTCGGGACCCGGAACTAGGAGGAACGTACAGGAGTGTTTCTATAGGAAACAATTGGGACAGCCACTGTCGAAATAAATCTACAGTCTGGAATTTCATCTTTCGTGGATTATACTTTGTGGAATTTTCCTCTTTCGTGGATTATACTTTGGAAATATTCATCAGAACGTATATATTTTGGAACTATTCGGATTACTAAGAATTATAAAGAAAAATTTGGAATTTTAATCGTTTATCACACTAGACTTCCTTGGAGGAAGAAGTTGGATTATTCATTGTAATTTTGAACTGAACCGTGGAATTACTATTTTGTATTGCTACCTTTTTTACTGAACTTTATTTATGATGTCAAACCGAAAAAAATCACACATGAGGAGGGTGGAAGAGCTCGACGGATCACAGGGCTCTAGGCAAGTCGTTAATGATAACTTTTTTATGGGTAACCCACATGTTATGTCTGATATTTATTATTGTAAGTCATCGATAGAGGGTTTAGAACTACCTAAGGTTGAACTCTCATTTTTTGATGGAAGGTCTCGCGACTATTTTAAGTTCATACGACAAATAGAGACGTTTATAGAACCTCGAATAAAGGATGATCAAGTGCGTTTATTGTATTTAATTCATTATTGTAAGGGAAAAGCAAAAAATGCGATTGAAGGCTGTATTATTATGGATCCACAATCAGGATATAAGAGAGCTAAGGCCATTCTAAAACAGCTCTTTGGACAGTCGCATGTAATAGCCCGGGAAACCTTAGAGGACTTATTTAGAACTGGGAATGTAGAATTTAATGATCCTGAATCATTGACGAACTTGGCTATTAAAATGCAGAACGCTGCTTTAACTTTAGAACAGTTAAATTGTACAGCTGAACTTAACTCTATGGCTACTTTAGAACGAATAGTCAGGCTCTTACCTCGTCGAATGCAAGCCCAGTGGGCAGAGCTAGTATTCAAGTGGGACGAAGAGGAGAGAGAGCCCAATTTTAATGAATTGACGGAATTTATTATGTCTCGTGCTAAGATAGCTAGTAGTAGGTTTGGAAGATTAGCTTATCAGGCTAAAACAGGAAATAATACGGAAGCTACTAGTGGTCTGCGTGTGAGACATTCGGATTTTTCGTTTCTACCTAAAGCACGCTCGGAAGATAAGAGAATTGTCAATTATATCACGAAAGCATACGCTGATGAAGGACGAGTATGTGACCGTAACGATGTAAAGCCTCTTGATGCGTGTCCTAGCAAGAAGCCGGTTGGTGTAACAGATAAGATGGCTTTTCTAAGTGTAGAAAAGAAAGAAAAAGGCGAAAAGTGTAGGCATCAAGATGGATTCGAAGTGTGTGATGATAAAAGCCTCTTAGCTGCTCGAAAAGCCTGGAACGGTAATTTGGATTCGAGTAATCAGAGGTTAATGAGTTCAGCAAATATGAATAAGACCCAGGCAGGATTGACTGAACGGAATAAAGCTTATTTTCGGAACCCTTCAGTTAGGGTAAATTGTATAACTGGACCTAGAGTAGATTCTAGGATAAGTGATGGTGGTACAGTAACGGCTAAGAAGCCTAGGAGACATGATGCTACTATTACTAAGAAGCCTAAACCTCATGCTCTTTCGGATGCTACGACTAGCAATGGAAATAGTAGCCATCAGAACCTTAGTAGTGACAGTGATAATAAGGAGATAGAAAGTGTCAGAAGTCCACTTATAGGGACTAGTTTATCAACTTCATCGAATGAGCCTCCTAGTGTTTCGACGCCATCGGACCTCGTCACGAAGGTTAAGTTGATTGAAGATGCACAAGGTTGTGCAACTGTAACTGTTCCTATTACGGTTGACTGTCAGTCGAGTGATGATGAGAAGAAAATGTTTGATGGTAACAGCCAGTCTACAGTGCTGTGTGATGACGATGCTATTGTTGAGCATATGTCTTGTGCCGCGGAAACGGATGCTAATGCAGAACGGAATCATTTAGACGTTGATAATAAACTGGATGTCACTGATGTGACAAATGAGTTACCGACGATGATGAATACTGTTCAAACCTCCTCTGCATCAGGAGATGGAAGGATAAATATTGATCCTACGTCATGCTACTTAAGGTCTTCTGGAGACGATGAAATGTCAAAATTGGAGATCCCACCCTTGCATATTATTTATGGGTCAAAAACTTTTGTTGATAAGTTAGCAACACGGACTTCATGGTATCTGCTGATCGGAGCAAGTGGTGGTGGATTGGCGACTCGTCCCCATGAAAGAGAATGTAGTCCTTGGATAGGATATGACCAGTTTTGCGACGTGTTGTTCATGTTCGTATGGGTTAATTGGGTAAGGTTTATACTACCGTTAGGTCATTCCACGATAGATAGGGGAATCAAGGGCCTGATGGGAAAGTATAGGTATCTAGTTAGCGCGATAGGTCATATCCATGTTGGATGGCGGGTAGGCGTACTGCTGTAAGTCCTACACGTTATTCCGGTGTGGATTAGGGGATAACATGGGAACCCTAAATAAAGTGTCATTAACGCTTGCTCTTTTTGCATGGAGGGATTTTGCGGGCCGGTGTAGAATTCTTTTTGAATGTTTTGTGTTTTGGAAAATCCCTCCATGTTTACATATTTTTGCTATGATATGACGGACTTTTTCTCTTGACATTTTTGGTATTTTATTTGATTCCAATTTGAGATTTTATCATTGTATATTGTTATTCTTTCTATATTTGTACTTATATTGAAGTTTTTGTGTTTGCTTCTGAACTGTACATATATTGTTTAAATTTGATATAATATGGCTACCGCCACATTTTTGGATGGACGCGGTGGCTGCTGGACTTAGTGTCACTTACTAGTTATTGTGTTGGATACTCTGCGGAGTAATTTAACCCTGGAAGGAACACAAATTCCGTAAGACTTTGTATTTCCATTTTATAATAATATAGAGACGTTTTCTCCTAGAATTTTGCCCTTTTTGATTTGGTCGGGACCCGGAACTAGGAGGAACGTACAGGAGTGTTTCTATAGGAAACAATTGGGACAGCCACTGTCGAAATAAATCTACACTGCGTTATACCTTCACTTATGCAAATAAATGATATTCTATTCCTCTTATAAAACAGAGTGTTTCCAGTTCCATATTACAACCCAAACTGCACACTTCCAGTAAGTATAAGCCCTCCAACCCCCAGAGGAATACAATCAATATGACCGTCGCCATAACTAAGTATCAGCGTAAACAACATAATAAAGTTCGGAAAGAAACATAGAGACTCAGTAAAGGTAAAAAATAGAAACTATAATAAAATGCAAATATCATCATCTCAAAATGGAATTCAACAGGTTGACAAAATATAGAACCGAAGGAATCAGTAAGGACATATTGCAAGTGTATACATGGAGGGGTTTTCACAAACAAAGCTTTCCAAAATGGATCTTAGGAACATCATCCAAAATTCTGTCCTTAGCAATGTACCCGTAGTCTCACACCTAACCCGGAAATAGAGGAACATGGGTTAGGCGCGACACTGAATGCTTGAAACAGGCGATGGGGAGAGCCTGGCACAAGTGGAAGGTCTTCTTGAAGGATTCTAACCATAGTCCTTACACGGCATTGAGAAACAGATGCAATACCAAAGTTCGAAGTGATGGGGGACGCTTCCAGATGAAGCTAGCTGCCCAAATACAAGCAGACCATAGGCATCTGTTTGGGTTCATGTCAAAAGAAAACCTACTTTTCAAGGGTTGTGTTCTCACAAAGCACCAAATGAAGAAGACCTCACCAACCTAGAGATGGATGAGATCTTCGACGCAAACTTCAACGATCAGTTAAACCAGGCATCCCAAAGTTAAAAGTACTACGCAGACCTGGTCCAGCCGACGGCTTAGTAAATATTCGTATTATTCCTGGCAGTAATGAGGTAACTAAAATCCTTACGCTCAAGTAAGTCACCAGGTTGTGACAAAATTCGCCCCATAGTCCTGAAACAATGTGCAGAAGTCCTCTGCTCACCGATATTTGACCTGTTCAGGCATTCACAGTTGTCACACCAAAGCCTATCTGAATGGAAACGAGCAACTCTCTCTCTCTCCAATCTTCAAAGGAGGAGATAGAAAGGACCCAGCCTGTTACAGACCAGTCGCATTACTACCAATATATTATTGTTGCCGTCCCACCAGATCACTAACTTAATCTATCTCCCCTTATACTTCCTCTCTAACAATCTTCGCCACCAACTAATAACGTAAGCTATCTATTGATTTACTTAGTTCCGAAATCTTATTTATATTAGCATTAGAATTTTTACCTCATTATTCTCCACACTGCAACCAAATGATCTCCGGTCTGTTATTGTGATCACTGCTGGTAACCAGAAACTTTACTGCGCTGAAACAAGCGTGTTCGTTCAAATCACGAGATATCCAAACTCACAACCAACTGCCAACTGACTAGGATTAGACCGTCGAGTGGTTAGACTCCCATTCAATGGACACTACCAAACACTTGGAACAAGAATCGAGCGCAAACAAAGCAACTGGTTTACACCAGCTCGTGAAAAAGATATTGGATATTAGAAGCCTTTGATGTAGATATCCCCATTTTAATGAAACTAAAAATATGGTAAGCATTAAGATCGTTTCTACCGATTTTTTCATTTTTATTTGAATTTTATTGATATTAGGCTGGTTTAATACCTTACCGTGGGACATGTTTTCAGAATGTTTTGATTAACTAGGCTGTTCTAAGGTCATCTAGCAATGTCCTTGAGTGTAATGTGTTCATTGCGCAAATTCGACTCGTATCTTTAGTTTGCTGATTCCAACTATGGTTCCTTCTGCTTTCAGTCGCCTCCCCCGATCTGTCATCCCCATAAGATATGAAATAGAAATCAGACCTTGTTTATCGAGCTTCAATTTTGCCGGGAAGTTGTCGTTATTTCTATCTGTAAGTTACATACTCTTAATTTAGTACTCAGATTGTCGAAAAAAGTTCGGAAATAATACTAAACGCCAAACATATTTCAGTAAATAAAGCTACTTTTAATGGAAGTAAGTTTCTATTATTGGTGCTCCTAATTCGCCTAGCCGATCTCGAGGTGATTGAAAAACCGGAATGTGAGCAGGTTTCATTCGTTTTAGGACAACCTTCGCTAGTGAGTACATTTTGTAGTCAATGTAGTTATCTGTTATAGTCGAAACATGGCGAACTGAAATTAGAATATACTGGTATAATAAGTGACAAAATGGAGGGTTTCTACAGGAGTTCATATATCTCAGACGGAGAAGAGCACTATATGCTATCTACGCATTTCGAGGTAACACATCTTCCAACTCTAACATCAAATTAAGGCTACTGGTGCTCGACAAGTATTCCCATGTTTGGATGAACCAGACTTCAAGTCAGTCTTCAGTATCAAACTTCATATCCCTAAGGGGAAAATTGCGATTTCGAATATGGTAGGTCTCATCAAACTCACTATTAATCTCCGGCATTCATGCATTTATATCTCTGGCATTAATGATTTGCCTTCTTTGATGGGATAAGTATGGTTGACTTGCATGAACCCTTACAATTTATAGCACCTCAAAATTTAAGAGACGTCTTATCTAGTCTGTATCAAGGTAGGTAACGGTGAGAAATAAATTAAACAACTCAGATGTGTTGTCTGAACTTCTCACATTCGTTTGTGGTCACTAGGTAGCATGCAAAATAATTTTAGCGTTCCTTAAACCCAAGTGATTGCCAGATGCCTCATGCCGCACTGAGGTTAAGTTTAGACTTATTTTGTAAATAGAACCATACGATGGAGATTGGGTTATCTGGCCGTCAAAGTTTATTCATGTATGTCTACATAAATGTTGTTCTACAAGCGCAATGAGATGTGATACGGTCGTTTACAAACTCTTTAAAGAAGCATGTGTATAGTGTCTTCAGCTATCATGACCTTAAAATCGATTCTTTATCGTACCTCATTCTTGTTGGACTAGACTTATCGTATAAACTGAGGCACTTTTCTGTGCATGTAGGCTTTATATAGACAGCTAAAACGGAACTCCGCCTTTAGATGCTTTGAAGCTACTACCGGTCTCAAGCCCGGATGATGAAATTTCGTCACACAGCAGGCCATCAGCACTGATGAGACTCCCCAGATAAGTGAAGCGGTTTACACGCTCGACCACTTCACTCCCTATCACTAGTTCAGGTGCCGATGCAACCCAATCCTGAAGCAACATTTTGCATTTCGAGGGTGAGAACCGCATCCAGAACATGCTTGCATTGTTGCTTAGAGGAGTCAGGAGACTCTGCATTTTGTCAGCGTCTTCACCGAATAGAACTATGTCATCGGCATAACCTAAGACAATAAGCGATCCTCCTGGTAGAAAGTCTACTCCTGAAAATTCAGACGAGGATAAGGTTAACTCTAAACGCATATCTATGACAACGTTAAACAAGAATGGAGAGAGTAGACAGCCCTGATGGACGCCACTTGAAGTAACTAATTCTGATGATAGTTCGCCACAAGCTCTCACTCGACCAGTGGTGTTCGAGTAGAGAGCTTGTATGAGGTCAATGTACTTCTTTGGTACATCTTTCAATGACAGACACCGCCACAGAACCTCACGATCAACAGAGTCAAATGCCGCTTTTAGGTCCAGGAAGTGAAGTGGTCGAGCGTGTAAACCGCTTCACTTATCTGGGGAGTCTCATCAGTGCTGATGGCCTGCTGTGTGACGAAATCTCACCACATATTCAGAAAGTTCAATCTACTTTTACCAACCTGCGTCACTTATGGCATAGGCGAGATCTATGTTTGCATACCAGATGAGGAGTCCATTGCGCAGTAGTTCGCTCTGTCCTACCTAATGGAAGCGAAACACGGCCGTTAAGAGTTAAAGATATTCCTAGGTTACCAGTTTTCGATCACAGATGTCTTAGAAGCGCTGCTTGTGTATCATGGGACACCCGAGTAAACAATTCTGCCATAAGGAATCGTGTACTAGGTAAGGATGGCAGATCAGTAGATGAAGTATGGAAACTTCATCAGTTGAGGTGGTTGGGACGTATTTCTTGAACAATATCTTCGAACTCTAATGTCTCTGATTACTGCCAATACATCTACTACCTATACTGCTATGGGATTCTTAGTGATAATCGCGTCTCTGTGCTAATGTGGTATGGCAACTTGAATTGATGTACGTGCGTACGTACGAAGTTCTACGCTGCTGTTAATTGACTGATTGATTGACCACTTCAACCGAACCATTCTACATGACAGAGTTCATATAACAAGGGAGCTTATCTTCACAGATCAATTTAGTTCCATGGAGTTAAAAAATTTAGTAGATATTTCTCACCTTTCAGTTTGACATACATGAACTTGATGCTAAGTGCCGTATATGAAGACAGATTTTATTTCTAAATAACTCTTCTCATCTAAATATATCGAACGAACTAATTTAACTAGCTGTCTTATTCTACAGATACATGTAGATTTTAATGGCAATGTATTATACTAAATTGAGTTAATATAATGAACCTATACTTTGCCCATAATGCACATTTTAGATGTAAACTGTTTTGTTCTTCTTCTCTAAGGTTTAGTCATTCTCTACTATGGTCTTGTGCACTGAAGTTGGTTGTTGACATAACATTTAGTTTCCCAGCTATGCATAGTTCAATGTTAAAATTCTTATCTCAGTCTATACAGTCTTATGTGAGCGAATACATAGTATCACTAACTTCTGTACATCGTACAGCTTACGATCTTGTACACTAGCCTTCCGTTACTGTGTAGCACTATAACCACAACTATAGTTTTATAGTTTGTTTTTAAAACAAAGTACACTCTTGTTAATGAATATAGTCCGTTTCAGTGGCGAACGTGTGTTATGGTAATACTGTTTTTCATGTGTTTACTTTAGCCTCTCTTATCGGAAGTAGAGCATGAGGAAAACATGGTAACCTTTAGTTTCCAAGATACGCCACAGATGTCAACATATTTGGTAGCCTTTGCAGTTGGGGATCTTGAGTATACTGAGGTAAGAATAAATTTGTAGTTCATATCGCACTAATATATGTCTGTAATATTCACTGGGAAATACGGTATTATTTCTATGTGATTTAGTTAACAGAACTTGAGAGTCAACTTAATAGTAGTGGTAGTAGTGTAGTGAACGAGAACACAGGTGGGGCAACCGGATTGTATTTAACGAAAATTACGGAGTTACTCAGTAAAATTGGAAAACCATATCGTAAATTGTTAATTTGCAAAATATCAGTTCATCATATCGAACTGGACTGTTCCTGTTGCAAAACATTAATCCATTGTCACTATTCATGCGTTTCATACAAATTCCATTGTGTTCTAACTCTTCCTTTCTTGGTCTTCCCCCATCTTCTGCTGCCAGACAATACGTTGACACGTCATATACTGCTTATAGGTAGCTCACACCACAGTAGTAGTAGTAGTAGTGATGCCACAGCAAGTAGCATTGGAGTCTACAGTAAACGAACAGGTAATCGCAACTGTTCTCAGTATTGACCGAGTGGTGTCGAACGAATGACCGTACTTGTATCCTGCTTGAGTGTTTCAGAGACGCAGCATACATCGATATGTATGTAATCCTAGCTAGTGAGGTCTATTGTCCTATCTATCACAAAGTGCAAACATTAAGTTTCCACATCTAGTTCAGAGCGTGATTTCAGGAGGCCGAAAACAACATTTGGTGAACTCGAATCGTTTGCAGTAGCAGGACGAGGTGATAAAGGTATGCGAAACGAGTTAGTTTTGGTATAAGAGAGTTGTTAAGCGGTGAGGGAGAGGTGTGATCCTAAACAAGAGGATGTCGTGTGTGGCTAGAGGTGTAAGGCAAGTTATTACTTCCTGGTCGCCCAACTCATAAAAGAGTATTTCTTGAGGTGCTCGGGAAGGAAGCGTGGTAAGAGTTTTGTCTTAGTGACCTGGGTGCTTGATGGCAGAGTTCAAGAAACAACTGCTTGAGGCCGGTCGTTCACGGCCTCTTTAAGTGAAGTTTTCGAAGTGTTAGCTTCACTTTTCAGAAAGCCTTAACGCCAGATACAGAAATCCGTGTGATACGGTGAGTTGTTACATTTGTAGCATTGACCTTTTCTAACCTTTTCTCTCCTTTTTGAGGCGGCAGCATTGCTTCAGATGCTAGTTGTCCGAGGGGAACACGGCTACGGCACTCCTCTATAGCTAGCAGTTCGACTGCACCCTAAAACCTTAATTTGCTGCTTTCAGTTTTACTGTTCTTCAACCGACCTGCCTAGCATGGTAGGACATAAATGAACATGTGTTCCAGCCAATACAGATCCTCTAAGTCATCAAGATATGCAATCCTAAATACCACATGAAAGTAGCAGCTGCAGTCGGGTTAGCCCCAAACATTTGTTTTCCCATCTTAATGGGGCCCAGTGTAAGATTGACATGATTCTCGTAAATATTCTTTTTATATCCAGTGTGATATTGTTAATTTCCACTGTACTTAACTAAGATCCTTTTCGTTTGCTCAAGATATTGATTCTTTTGTCTAATTAATAATATTTCTCATTCCAGATTTATGGAGGCTATTGAGTTTCATTGGAATTTCGATTCGATCATTGTAAGACCACCATTAGAAGCCTGGAAGCACTGTACAGCCGTTTCGTCCTAGTATGAGACTCATCATCAGTGTTCATCCACGACTTCCGCGCGCTAGAAGCGAATTCAGGATCTTTGGTCTCGTGCATGAACGCCTAACCTCTAGCCCATTGAGCCGGCATTCAAAGATGTTAATGTTTAACTTGAATTAGTCCTTGATATTTCTCAACCTCACTGATTGTCTTTGGTAGTTGCTGCCTACACTCAAAAGCGTCGAACTCCGCTGATCACTGCTTCTCACTAGAACTCGGAGAATTTCCCCACGGAGCGCACTGCTGATGGGTCCCATACGAGGACGAAATGGGTGTTCGGTGCTTCCAGGTATCTAATAGTGGTCTAACAATGAACGATTCGTAATCTAAGCAAACATCTTTTAAAGGGCTTCCATTGACTGGGAATGATATAATTTTTAAAGTTCAAATAAATGTAATTAAACATCAGTATACATTCTTGGCTTTGAATCACAATTGATAATTTGAATCCTGTCTATAATATTTGGCTAGTAATATTGGGTGACATGAATATGTTAAAATCTGTGACCATGACTTAAAGTTGAATGTATGAACTACTAAACCATCGTCAAATATTTCATTTTATTTGCTAACCACAAGACTTGGGAAATTTTTGTTTTTTTTTAATTTTCGGTACCACGTGATTCTCTGTTTTGTCTTTATTTATAAAAAAATATTTAAATTAAATCATCTTAAGATCTTACAGTTCGTCATGAAAATGTCTGAAGTTATATGAACTACCGTGTTGATGACGATACAAGTATACCAAGAGAATTTAGCTTGGTAACTGTAAACATTTAGTTTTAAATAGTGCAAAGTTTATTAGTCTTCGTACGATATCAATAATTTTGTTTATTTAAGCATTAGACAAGATATCATGGGCATCAACAGACACTAGATAGTTTGAAATGAATTACTTCACATTTTTTGAAACGAAAATTAATCCTATTAGAATAATAATGTAATACGATTGATCAATAACTAAAGGATTATTTGGATGAAAATGCATTATACCAGTATAATAATGTCCCTTTTTAGAGAATATTAGTCATGGTCATATAGGGATGTCATTGCGATAATGTCTCATTTTTTTTTCGAAAGTACATGTTTACATTTGCTATGTGTAATCAATAGTTAACTGTTTCTCACATATTTCTTCTCTGAAACTCATTCTCAATAACTTACTGTTCCGAAATGAACGAATATATCGAAACAAGCACAAAATCTATGAATTATGTACAAATAAAAAACAGGATTTTTCAAAATCACCACTAACACTGTTTTTTTTGTGCGGAATTAACATCGTGACGTTATATGAAACAAATCGATGTGAACACTGAATGTTTTATCTTGAAAACAGGGAAAAAAATCTATGGCATATTTTCTGGAGTTATTAATGTCACTACAGTGGCGTCACTTGACATAGAGTAGATTTGATTAACATTGTATGTAAACTTTGAACTCTGCCTTCAGCTTATCAAAACAAACTTTCATCCACACATTATTTGGGTTACTTGAAAGATATAGTTTTATCGTTTTCATGTGCATTAAGACACTGCACTACTCTAATTCGTTTATTCTCTTTTAACCAAGTGAGATATTTTCAGGGTAACTTTCATTCTAACACCATTTTTTATGCAGTTTCTTATGCCTTGTTTACATTACAGGCTATTGACAAAAATGGAGTATTAGTACGTGTGTATTCGCGTAAGGGTCTTCTGTCAGAAAAAACCCAGGGTTCTGTCGCCCTGAATGTGGCTTGCCATAGCTTACCATTCTACGGGGAATACTTTGGCATTAAATATCCATTGTCCAAAGTTGATTTACTTGCAGTTCCTAATATGTGCGGAGGTGCAATGGAAAACTGGGGATTAATAACTTTCCGGTAAGTTGATTTTTCATACTATAAAACTTGTAACGCATTTTCTGAACTTGTATTGTAATGATTATATTCTTGTAAAATCTTCCCAATCGTTGTTTCAGAACCTAGTTACATTTAGTTTTGTGATTCTTATTGAACATCATTTTATTTTGAAAATCCCGGAACTCCAATAACTCAAAATTCTGTACCCATAAACATTTCAAAAAAGGACACATTCTTTGCACAAATCCATCCTTCCAATGATATAGATCAAAGACTGACGTAAATAAGTTGATACTAATTTCCACATGTTGTGTCATCCACTATACAACCGAATACTGTCTAATCTCCATTATTACATACTTGTAGCTTAGAGTTTAAATAACAAATAAACGGAACACATAATACATAAATATTTGATCAATCTAACTCTTTCATCGTAAGCTTTTGTGAAGAGGTGTTCGAAGAAGAATCGAAGAATCGAATTCAGTAACTGACTAAGGCTTCCACTGGTTACTCCCTATTACCCATAGCGTCTTACTATTTCCGCTATTCTCGGTTTCTAGAAAATTTTGTAAGTAATTATCTAAGACTCTTAATACTTCTCAGTGTACCTAAAGACAAAGTCAAATTATTCAATCTATTGATAGATAGACTCAGATGTTGGTTTGGGCAACTGCATTTTACATTTAGTGCACCATTGTTTCCATAAATAGCAAATACCTATTAAGTAGAAAATCAGTACATAATGGTTATGGAATGTTTAGTTGTGGTTAATTTCTTATGAAATAACTTCTTACACTTTCGGAGTAAACATCTTTAAACTGCTTTCAGTTGCGGAGAAACTTACGAAAGTTTCACCAGTAATGTCAGTCAGTCAGTCAGATGCAACGTAGAACTTCGTACGTAAGTACATCAGTTCATGTCGCCATACCACATCAACACAGAGATGTAATTGTCAATTCAAATCCAATAGTATTAGAGGTAGTAAGGAAATTAGAAGTAATCGGAGAGGTTAGGATTAGAAGATACTATTCAAAAAGTATGATTTAATGACAAAAGTTTAGAAAGTTACAACTAGAGTTGTTGAAGAACCCAGAAGATTAGGATTTGAGAGAACACAAAGAATAAATGCACCGGCGCCATTGCGAACGATTTTGAGCCATGTCATTCAGGGTATCTAACTATCGATTATTATCATCTCGCGGACCCCAACCAGGTAGTCGACAATTACTGACATGGCTAAGTCCACTCGTCAATGACTTCATTGATTTCTGCCATGTTTTGGTTTGGCCGCCCCTGGCTTTCTTCCAATCTACTCCTACAGTACAAAACACCTCGTCGCGGCAGTCGGTGGTTAGCTACAGGTAACACATGTCCCAACCACCTCAACTGGTGGAGTTTCACTACTTCATCTATTGATCTGCCATCCTTACCTAGCACCCGTTTCCTAACGATAACATTGCTTACTCGGTTGTCCCATGAAACACGAGCAATGCTTCGGAGACATCGATGATCGAGCACTAGCAACCTACGAAAGTCCTCTACTCTTAACGGCCAAGTCCCGCATTCGGAGAGAAGGACGGAGCGGACTACTGCACAGTACACTCGTCCTTTGGTTAACAAGCGGATATCTCGCCTGCGCCATAAGTGACGCAGGTTGGCAAAAGCCAAGCGAGCCTTCTGTATCCGTGCTGAGATTTCGTCAGTCACCAGGCCATCAGCACTGATGAGACTCCCAAGATAAGTGAGGCGGTCTACACGTTCGACTACTTCACCCCATATCACTAGTTCAGGTGCCGATGAAACCCAATCTTGAAGCAACATTTTGCATTTCGAGGGTGAGAACCGCATCTCGAACATGTTTGCATTGTTGCTTAGGGTAGTCAGAAGACTCTGCATTTTGTCAGAGTCTTCACCAAGTAGGACTATGTCATTGGCGTATTCTAAGTCAATAAGCGAGCCACCAGTAATGAATATCTATTCGATATCATATTTGTGACACTGCACCATAAATCTCTATCGAACTGTCTATTACCAAATCCATACCATATCTGTAGTTGTTGTTGTTCATACTGGTTCTTCCTAGCATACTAGAATCTCGAGAAATGAGTCTACCAACCCTAATAACTCAATTATTCCTTCCTAACACAAAAATATAGTTATTCAAAGCTCACAGTTTCTTACCAGAGCCATAGTCGCACAAAATATTCTCATTCTACGATTAAAAACGTACAAGCAGAAATTAAACTGTCTTGACAATCTTGGTCGCCTGAAGAGGTTGAGACATTTCACACAGGCCGAACAACCCCTTACATCCATATCTAATATTGGTTACCGTAGTAGTATGCTAAGAAATTCATTCAGAAAGACTAGGCGCTTTCTGGTATCAATCCATGATGAAATTAACTTTTGATCTGAGTTGCGTTAATGGGTATAAAGTATCTTGTTTATGTCCCCGACCGTAGCTGCTACCTTCACGTGGTGGCCGGGCTTGCCTATCGTCATGACCCAACCGAGCTATATTGGCTAGAACATATGTCCCTGAAGGTTCTGCCATGTCAGGCAGGTTGGTTGGAGAACCATGAGACTAAAAACATCTACTCCGGGTCTGAGGGCGAAATCGTAATGCTGACTGCAGAGGGGTGTGACAGCAGTAAGATGTTTCCCTCGGACAACCAGCATCTGCAGTGATGTTGCCTTCTCACACGGAAGGAAGGGCTTAGAAAAGGTCGACCCTAAAAATGTCACACCTCACCCTACCTCACGGATTTCCGTCTCCGGCGGTAAGGGTGCCCACTCAGGGCTCTAAAAGAGCGGAGCTGATACTCAAAAAACCTTTCATAAAAAGGCCGTGCGTGACCGACCTCAAGCAGTTGTCGCTTGGACTCTTTGGTTAGAGACCCTGAATGACATGGCTCAAAACCGTTTGCAATGGTGTAGTTGCATCCACTATTTGTATTCTCTCGAATCCTAATCTTCTGGATTCGTCAACACTACCTTCGGCTTTCTAAACTTTCTAAACACTGAATTATACTTCTTGAATATTATCTTCAAATCCTAATCTTCTCCATTCGCAGTAATTCTTATACTTTATCTACCACTATGGGATTTGAATTGACAATAGCGTCTCTGTGCTAATGTGGTATGGCAACTTAAACTGATGTACTTACGTACGAAGTTTTACGTTGTACCTGACTCACTGACTCTCCGCAGGATGATTATCATCAACGATTAAAGTCTTTTGACCATGTTGCTCAAAATCGGCTTGAATAGAACAGATGTATTTATTCTTCACCTTAATTTTGAGTTTCAATATAAATTAGTATTTTTTTATCCCTACTTTTCTCATATGTTCTCTTTGTTTTGTCTTTCATATGTATCATTGATACTATTTTAACTTTGGAACTTATTTTATTAATTTCCTGTTCCTGTTGATGCCATATGGTAAATTGGAATTTTCAACATGTCGTATATTAAGCGTAACTAAACTTAGCCATATTAATTAATTTTCATATTTTTAAAACTGTTGAATACAACAACTACCCCCTTAGTTTTAATTTTGAAGCGCCATCAACATTTTCTAGTTATGACTACTAGTATTATTGTGTACAATCAGTGCTACTGATAATAGATGTTTTTACTGTGTACAGTTGTTTATATCACACTTAAGGTCATCATAATTTATATTTCAAGTTGTGTACATTTCGAAAACACTCAGATTATTTTGATAGAACAGTGAGAAGATGTAGTTGATGTGATATATTCGCGCTATACATCTCGAACAATCTGGTCACAAATATATTTGTCAAGGCATTTTATCTGATTAATAAAAGGTCAATTAAATAAAAGTGGAAATGGACATAAGATGGTAATTGTAAGTGAAGGAGAGAGAAAATTAACGTAATATAGAAAGGATAAGAAAAGGTAGGAAGCTTTCACATTACCCTAAGTCATACAATGGCTTATAGATCACCAGGTTAATTTCAAAGTTATACCCTGTTATATGTGTATATGTGTGACCAGATTGTTCGAAATGTATGGCGCAAATACATCACATTTTTCAGATCAATTATGTCTTCTCACTGTTCTATCAAAAATTTATAAAATGGACAAATTGTTTTAAACTTAGATTATTTCCATTTTGAGATAAGTTCATGGTTCCTCATAGACAAGTAAGTAATCATCTAATAATATAATTTATTTCCTGTTTAGTGAAAGACTTTTACTAGCTAACCCACACACATTGTCTCCAATAACAAAAGAAGTTATTACAACCGTAATCAGTCATGAAATAGCTCATATGTGGTTTGGTAATCTCGTTACAATGAAATGGTGGACAGATTTATGGCTTAAAGAAGGATTTGCAGCTTGGATAGAATACGTTTGTTCTGATCACTGTTATCCTGAAATGGATATTTGGGTAAGATATTCTGGTGGATATTTTCACATATACCACAAAAGGCATTATATATGTATATAATATATATGCTGTTGAGCAGTCCGATATTAGGATAAAACCTCATTATTTGGTCTGCATTTTACCTTCACCATCATAAGTTCCCACCTTAAATATTCTAAAGTAATCTGTACATCAATTCAAATTACCTGGGTTATTTTGGACAACGCATTTAATCGCGGAGGTCTTATATAACACAAAAAGGCTGAATATAGAAATCATACTACTATGGTTTATTATGAATTTACTTTGTGAATTTCATGTACAGAAGATTATGTTTGTTTATGATGGACAAATTGTGTATGATAATACTTTCGGTTTTCATTTATAATATTGGTTGCTTTACTTTAAATAAATTTTAAACACTAAAAATACTTTTTGAAATTAGAATGTTATACTCCTCATTCTACATTACATGTGTATTACCTAAAACATTGTCCTTTGTACTCTCAAGCGAAAGTTAATGAACTTTATTCTGTCGATTGTTAAAGCTTGTGATAGCAAGACTCAAATGTCTAGGTTATATCTAACATTAACCTTTATTAACATGTACCTTTTTTGATGGTTGAACTTAAGAATGCGTGACTTTTTAGTAGATGTTTAAATATTAATTCAATTGTAATCAATAATGAAATTACTATTTGAAATTTCACGATGTGCTTTGTTTAAACCCATAATTAACTTGCATTTGCAGTGTTCCAAATAAAAAAAAAGTTTGAAATTTAAATAATGGATACAAATAAAGATTTTACTAATGTCAAATATAATTTTAATAGATTATTTAAGTGAATCCTAACGGATACAGTTGCATGTACTCAACTTTGAAATGTAGTGCTTGTTTAAGTGTCAACAATACCAACCGGTTGCTTGAATCAAAGTGGATCAGAGTTCTAACTCACAACCTATAAGTTGGTAGCTATCATCATTAACCTATAGTTTCATGTAAGGTCAAGATTTTTTGCCCTGTTCATTTTGTTTCTAGTTACAAATGATATAGGTTCGTAACTTCATCATCTTTATATGCTGACTTGTGAAGTTGTATTAAGTAGAAGTCTTAGCATAAACTTGTAAAACATAGAATCTACAAAAGTAGTAGTTTAATGCCGAGGAAAAAAAAACTAAGCAGCAAAGTGTATGAGCATTGATTAAGAGTTTCATACTAGGACTAAATAACTGTTGATTGCTTCCAGGCTTCCTCCCATGGTGGTTAGACGTTGATTGGCTCATGAGTTCAATGAAAGTAGACTAAATTTATGGGAAAAAAAGACATCGACCTTCAGTAAACAGTTCAATGTTAAGTAAAGATGAATGTAATTTCGATATTGCTATTAATTGAATCACCTCTAATCTGTAATCACACATTTCTTAGTAAACTAAGCAAATACGAAGTTTCGCATCGTTTAAGGGTTTACATATACCATACTCACCGTTTACTTAATTGTTTCTCAACAATATATTGTTTTTTAAAGGATTTTCAGTTGTCTTTTTCTTTTCTTGTTTTTCACTTTAGACCCACTTTTCATATCATCGGTTAGCCTCTGCATTACGTTTAGATGCATTATCTAGCTCACATCCGATAGAAGTAAGTTTATTTCATATTGTAGTTCAAGGATAATTATTTAGTTTAATTTTATCTTTAACTTTACTTAAACTAATCTAAACATTTTCCAAATGCATCATACACAAAAACGCATTTAAGATATTATTGCTTCGTTACTAATGTATTCTGAAGACTTTTCAATCATTTGGAGTCTAAACAGGAATTTATGTTTCGTGAACTTCATGTCAATAAGAGACAAGTAAATTACGTGTTACCTCTCAAAGATTACATGTGGCCAACTCGATCAGAAGTACTGAAGTCGACAGCCTAAAATGAAAGAATCGAATGGTAATGTTTCAGGAATGACAATTGTCGACTCATCCCTTCTAGTCGTGACCTGTTCAGAAATAGTCGATATTAGTCGATATTTAAACCGGTGGCTATCATATTATACAGTACCTGTGTGTTTCTAGGGTCAGTAATTAAGAAAAACAAACTTTTCGGAGCCTAACTGAAGAAGAAGGTTAGCGTTATCTGTTGTCTAGTGTTATAATGCACCCAAATTCTAATTTTTCAATAGTGACGCTTGTTTTTCTATGCCAAATGGTTTGAGCTTTAACCTCTTAACATCACCTAAAGCAGCAGCTAATGACTTTTTGAAAAAAATTGATGTCTTGTTTTGACCAAGCATAGCTTTCTTCCAACTTACTCCTATACCAGTCAACATAACTCATTAACAGGAGGGCAAGTGTCTGTTAGATATGCATAACATATATACCTTCCATCACTTGATAAAGGTTCATAGCCTCATCGACTGATTCCCCATTATTACTCTAGGATCATACCTCCGACTACCGCACTATTCATCGGGTTGTTCCACTATAAGCGACTACTTTTGAAAAGACATCAAATTCTTGTAACCTACGTAAGATATTAGTCTATTCTCAAAGACCATGTTTCAGTGCCATAAAGTAAGATGGATTATCAGTCACTCAACAACAACGTTGAACTTCATACATACGTACAGTTCAAGTTGCCATAGCACGATAGCACAAAGATGCAATTTTCAATTCAAATCCCACAATGGGTAGATGTAGTAGAAATATGAGTAGTAATCGGAAAGATTAGGGTTTGAAGATACTACTCAAGAAGTCGAATCTAGTGAAATAAATTTGAGAAGAGGGAGATGTAGTATACTTTTGCACAATAAACTCATCTGTTGTTAAGAAAGTGAACTTCCCATTTTCATCTCTGTTGGCGCCGCAAGTTTGCAAAACCTAAATGGATAACTTTTTGATATTCCGTTAGAAATAAATAGTGGTGACGAGAAAATGTTTTTTAGTTATTCCCAAACTCTTCAATGCCCCTGTTCCTTTATATCATCTATAGTAAGTAAGAGGTAACTTAAATTTTTAAAAACATTTGCAGGCTTCAACGTATAAATATAGATATATACATGTTGATAATCATGCGTTAAATTTTTCTAAAATGATTATTTCGCATCTTACTGTAGTGATGTATCACTTTTGTTGCTTGAACTTTTTGATCAGTTTCATAACATTCACAAAGAGAAAATCTTCAGTCGGAACAACAGATACGTTACTGATATTTTGCTTTTATCTTTAAAGCTTATTTATTGTTTTCAAATCTTTTCATTTATTGACATTGTTTTATTCAAATATTTTTCTATTTGTAATACTAATTAATCTGGCGAAATTGTTATTTCAGGTGGAAGTTTCAAATCCCGATGAAATTAATGAGATTTTCGATACAATATCTTATTGTAAAGGTGCTAGTCTTATACGTATGCTGCATGCATTTTTAGGTGATAATGCATTTCGTTCAGGATTATCATTCTATCTTAAAAAGCATGCTTATAGTAATGCAGTTACGGAGGATCTTTGGTTTGCTTTAAGCTCATCTTCTGGCATAGATGTCGGTAGTTTAATGCGCCCGTGGACTAGGAATGTTGGATTTCCAGTCGTTTCTATTATGCCAATTAGCGTAAATAATACATCTATAAAAGTACAATTATCACAAGAACAATATAAACTTCAATCAAAATGTACAAACGGTTAGTCATAACACAACAATTACAACTATATATATATATATATATATATATATATATATATATATATTTCGTGCCATTTGGAACTCGCGAACAAGATGCACCTGTAATCTTGGGGAACTGATGCTCTCTGGTGGATTCGATCCCATTTCACTTGGGTTTCGAGCCGCGATTGATTTCTTGTAGGACGGAGAAGTATTTGCAATTGACCGATCACAGGGTAGTGACTAGTGCCACCTATGTTCCAGGGTATCTTGGCAACTAACTCCGACCACCTTACATCTCAACATAGTGCACACGATGTCAAATCACCTAGATTCGTGAACACATTGCGACCTGATTGATAGAATTCGATCAGCAGGAAGAAGGACCTGATATGCATGAAATTGGTCACTACCCAGCGATCAATCAGGTACAGGAGTACGTACGAAGAAGAAAGTTAGCAATGGACAAACCCACACATAGCATCAGTCTATGAAGTCACTGATGACTGGACTCACTCATGTTAATAAGTGTGAACTATTTGGTTGCAGTCTAAGTGACTATCGTAAGCAATGCTTAAAAACTTTGTGTGAAACAGCTCAAATGGATCCACACTTTTTCTTCCTTTTGACCCTAAGTTTCTTAATTCACTAATTCAAATTTTCTAGGATTGTATCTTAGATACATAATCTCTTCCATTACTGCTAGTCCTGCCACCATATTTACTATTCTGGGATTTTCCCTGACAATATTTCACTTCACTATTATAGTAAGTGGGTATGGCGACTGAGTGATTGAATATCACTCGAAATGTGTCAACTATTCCTAATTTAACATCATGGTAGAGTCTAGTAAATTGTTTTTGTTTTACTATCATTTTGATGTTTGCAGGTAATATATATATGTATATATGTATATATATATATGTATATATATATATATATATATATATATATATATATATATGCATGTTTATTGTAGCTAATTTTCTTTAAAATAGACACTAAACTCTGGCCCGTTCCAATATCCTTAACCTGTTCTTCAAAAGATAGAAAACATTCATTCGTATTTAAACATGTTTTAAAGAAAGAATCAGAAGTAGTAGATATACCTCTTGATTGGATCACAACTTCTAATCTTGATGATTATGTGATACGGGCTAATGCTGACGCAACAGGATTTTATCATGTAAGATATGATTCCAGGCATATGAAGAATTTAGTGGATGATATGAAGTTAGGTGGATGGAGTACCTCTGGTCGCTTCGTATTCATTAATGATGGGTTTGCTTTGGTAGGTGAATTGTATTTTATACGTTTGATTTTACCGATGATTTTTTTTCCTGTTTTGATGTTGAATAATTGTTCAAAGACAAGTCTAAGAAAGCCCTGGACCGTATATTTCGTGCTAGTTTGTACTCATCAGTAAGATGTATTTTCAATTATTGATTCTTTCCTTGTTGCGGGAGAATCCCTCTTCTAGGAATAAGCTTTCAAACCTTCTAAAAAAAATTTCATACTACTTAAGTAATAGATTTGAGAAGTATATATATATATATATATACCTTTAAATAACGCTATAACTACTCGATATTCAATACTGAATCGCAACTCTTATCCAATAATTTTTTATATAACAGAGATTCATCATTCTTATTTACTAGTAAATTTCAACCATCTGTTTATATAAAATACATAAACCTATAGAAATAAACAGAAATTTAGTTTCTTCTAAGTCATATAATTAAAGTTACTATTATCTTTCGGTTGTATAAATCTAGTCTGTATGAAAAACAGAAATACTGTGGTGCAAATCATAAACAAATTAATGTTTTATTTCCTCCTTTCATTAATAAATTGTTGTTATATTAATTACAAACTAGTCACCTAAATTAACTTGTATAGTTTCTACTTGTTATAATTTCTTAAAACTATTTTTTTATCGCTTACATTTTTGTAGGCTAAAGCTGGTTACATTAATGTTTATGATTGGCTTATACTTTTGCCTAAATTAATGGAAAATGAAAATGAATACTCTGTATGGCGTTGTGTTCTTCGAGATGGTCTTAATACTTATATTAGGCGAATAATACAGTCTAGTGACATTTCTTCTTCACTCTATAATAGTTTTCTACTAAAATTAATATATCCGGTAATAAATAAATTGAGTAAGTTATTAGTACTGTATTTGCTGTTGTAATTGTTTTAACTATTGTGATTACTCAAAGCTTTAGCTTTAGATTATTATCATATTGGGTCTTATTGTTGTCAAAATGTGTAACTTCGGTTTTGAGTACTTAATCAAAATAAAAGCAAAAAGCAAGTCCAACTACTCTTTATTTAATAACCACTGGTCAACTGGATAGTACGTGCCAGACTTACTTGATTGTGGTCTAGGCGATATTCGTGACTACTAGTTAGAGACGTTTAGCGACATTACTCAGAATCAATGATAGTTGCACAGATTCATGCATTCTTCATCTCTCTCTCTCTCTCTCTCTCCTTTGATCCTAAGTTTCCTTATTACTTTAAAGTTATCCCAAAAACTCATCTCTCTGTACTTCTCGAAACTGTATTCTCTGTTTAGTGTTCTTTCTCAATATTATTACTTGTTATTGTGGACTGATGTGAAATTATCAATTTCATGTTAACTAACCTGTTAATGCAGTGCGAGAATTTAGGTTTTATTTATTTATAATTTATATATGTGTTATAAGTTTTACCTATCATTAGAATAATAATAATAGTAATAATAATAATAATAATAATGATAATTTTATTGTTTGTTTTTTCTTTTCTTGTAAAATTCTTTTTTCACCTCAAAGATCTTATTGAAAATTGTGACAGTTTGCCACATAATACTAGTATGCTCAGATCATTGATGTTGTGTGTTGCGGGCGCAGAAGCAGGTGATGACAATGTTATTCAAGTAGCTAAACAACATTTTAAAACTCATTGTACCGGTGAAAAAGAATTACCAAATGATTTACGTACAGCAATTTACACAATAGTTGTACGTCATGGTTCTACAGATGTAATTCAATATTTAATGAATGTAAGTGTAGATAATGGATGATAGGTTGTTGTTGTTGTTTTTTCTTCTAAAAATTGATGTGAATAAGATGATGATGATGATGACTTTTTATGCAGTGATTTTCATTGGTAACATTAAGCATCTGTATCTAAAAGCTTTGTTTTAGTCTTTACTATATTGATAGGAGATTTGAAATGTTAAATCTAAAATATCTTTTAATCTTTTACATGTTACACAAAATTGAAACAATATCAAAATACTACTAGTACTACTGTAGTGAATGAGAACACAGGTGGGGCAACCGAATTGTATTTAACGAACATTACAGAGTTACTCAGTAAAATCGGAAAACCATATCGTAAATCGTTCATTTGCAAAAGATCAGTTCATCCAATGGAACTGGACTGTTCCTGTTGCCAAACATCAATCCATTGTCACTATTCATGCGTTTCGTACAAATTCCATTGTTTTCTAACTCTTCCTTTCTTGATCTTCTCCCCATATTATGCTACCAGACTTTACGTTGACACTCACGTTATATACTACTTATAAGTAGTTCGCGCCACAGCACCACACTACTACTACTACTACTACTAATTATTATTATCATTGTTGTTATTAATGATAAATCTGAATAAACAAATTAAACGATCAAGAATTCAAGTTACATTTGTTAAATTTACCGCGTTAGTATTTTTCAAACTTTCTTTATTAATATAAGTAGTGTATGATTATAGTGTATATAAAATAATAATTCTTTTCAACGTTTTGTTTTTTTTAGAAAATATTATTTAATATAAGTCTAAGATTTGAAATAATGAATGCTTTTGATAAATTTTTGTTTAGTGTATAATATAATAAGAGACAGTGAAGATTATCAAAACTGTATTTGATAAATTATTTAACGTATTGCATGAAACATTCAAATCTTCTTCATACATTCAAATACAATTTTGTTCACACTTGTTCAAACTTCTATACTTCAAGTAATATTTTGTAAGTTACAATGTCAAGATTGAATTGAATTGATTGAAATCAATCCAAACATTGGTCTGAAAAAAAATTATTTATTTAAAAAAAAGAATTTAATTAACATTTTATGTATTTTTTTTTGGATAATATTGCTAATGAGTAGAAATTTTTGTCTTTTTGACTAGTTTGTGATGCGTATTGTCTAAGACAATGAATCTTACATTGTTTACTTTTTTTTAATCTTTTTTGTATTTGACTTACTTTTTAATTTGTCTATTTTTTATTTTTTATTTTTAACATATAAATATGCTTAATAAATTTATCATGCGATCAGATTGTTTGAAATGGTATATATATATATATATTACGCACTACGTGGATAAGCCTTAAATTACACATGAAACCATTTCCATAACTATTTCTTTGCTTATATATCATTATAAATTCATTATTGATATAAAAACATGAATTATTGATTGATATTGTTCAATTTTTTACTAAAGTATTCTACTCTGTAAATATTACATTATTGTTTTTGTGAACTTTAAGATGTTTTCAACGATGTAATCAATGAACAATAATAAAAATTATTTCGATTGTAACTATTTCAACATTTCAACTTGATGATTGAGATTCTGTTTTTTGTTACAGTTGTTCTTGTTCAAACAGAGCTAGAATCATATTGTCTGGAATAGTGTATAATTATTACCTTCAGTTCAATAGCATGTCTTTCAAAACTTCATTTTAAATATCCATTATATCGATATTATATTTGTATTTCTCCCTAGACATATAGTCATACAGACTCACCTGAAGAACGTCATCATATTCTCTGGGCTCTAGGTGCAGCACATGAAACTATTTGTAATGGTCTGAATGGTTCATCATCGGCTTCGTCACCTCTATCAGATGTCCTACACTTTTGTTTAGATCCAAACGGCCCAGTAAAAGATCAAGATAGAATTCATGGACTAATCGCTTGTTCGTCATGGTCTATTCCAGCTAGACTAGCAACATGGAAAAGTATCATGGATGAATGGAGTAGGATAATGGAGTTGTATGGTGGTCAATTTTTACTACCGACTCTGTTGGAGGTATGAAAATATTTTGTTAGTATCAAAATACTCATTTCACAATTTTAGTATTGATGGTGGCTTACTTTATAAATAAGGTTATCTCGCATACCGTTAAGTATATAAGGGCGGTTGTTACTTTCTAGTCGCCCACACCGTATAAGGTACCTAAAAATAAAATCAATTAATATTGGTTGTAGTGACGTGGGAGTATGACTTCATTGCCGTACGAATGACTCGCTGAAGCCACCGGTCATACAAAAAATCTTTATTCGAGTAGTGTCAGATAAATTAGTTCTCTAATTGTAAGGTCTTATTACTGGATACGGAAATCCTCGGTGCAAAATGAGGTGTACTGTTTTTAGAGTTGAAAGTTTCTAACCTTCTTTATATGTCGTGAGAAGTCAGCATCGTTGCTGAAGCTGGTTTTATGAAGGGAACACCTAGTTTTCATCAGACCTCTACACAGTGGAATATTAATTTGCCCTCGGAGAGTGGGTTTTTACTTTTAGCTTCACTTGCTCTCCATTCGACCTGAACGACATGGCAAGACCTAAAGGAATATGTATATCAGCCAAAGTAACTCGGTCGGGTCATCACTATATGTAACCCTGACTACCGAGGTAATTTATAGCTTATGCACCAGGTTATATTCAAAATGTTCATTCTTTCTACCATTCCAGGCAGGTCGATTGGAAAACTGTAAAACTGAATGCAAAAAATTATGGTCTGAGGTCGTACTGCTGACTGTAGAGAGGTACAAAAGCAGTAAGGTGTTCCCCTCGAATAAGCAGCATCTGCAGCAAGGCTGTCTTCTCATAAAGAAAGGGCAGGATTAGAAAAGGTCAACCCTGAAATTATCACACCTCACCTTCACAGATTTCTATCTCCGGTGGTAAGGCCATTTGAAGAGCGGAGCAAACGCTTTACAAACTTTCCCTAAAAATGCCGTGCGTGACCGACCTTGAAGCAGTTGTCCTTTGGGCTGTGCGGTTCCGCTCCTATGTCTCTGAAACCAAAGCTAACCCAACTTCTTTCTCAGGTTCTCCAAGAAAATCTGTTCCATGGTGTGGACAACCGGGAAGTGATATCCGCCCTCACACCTCCAACAGCACACGAGATCAACTTGCTGAATAAGTGGTATATTTTGTTTTTAGTCTGTATCAGATTAATTAGATTAGGAATGATTAACTTTTGGCAATAAAAATGCTCAATAATTCTCCTTTACTTTTCGCAGGATGTTTTATCTGGATTTTCAACAGAATCTCATATATCCGAGATTAAAGTGGGTTTCTTCACTTAAATGTTATTATTATTTTTATTATTGTTGTTAGTATTATATTATCTGTGGATTGTTACTAGAAAAAAATTTAGTCACAGTTTAATTTGTTACTAGTCAGTCAGTCAACAACAACACAGAACTTCGTACGTACATACACATTAATTCAAGTTACCATACCACATTAGAACAGAGATGCAATTGTCACTTCAAATTCTGTAGTAGTACATGTAGTAAAAGTATTAGCAATAATCTTGGAGATTAGAGTTTGAAGATATTATTCACGAAATAGAATCTAGTGAAATAAACTTAAAGAGGAAGAAGATAAAGGTGATGAGGAATTCCGAAGGTTTAGAATTTGAGAGAACACAATGAATAAATGCACTCGCGCCATTTTGATGCTATTTTTATTTTATTTCCAAATGATTTTATTGTTTATTAAGAAATATATTTATTTATTTCACTGGAAAATGGCTAATTATGATTAATCAATGAAATATAGTAAGTACTATGATAGGTTTTTTTTTAAGTACGAAGTAGACTTATCGGGTTGACTTAATTTTTAAATTAGAATCATTGTAATTTTGGGTTAAAACATTTCATATTCTCATATTCTCTCACTTATTCCATTTATCCATGAATTGAACTTGTATGAATATGAGAGATAATTATAATTAGTACTTATTAGTGAACCGAATGATTTCGCAAATACTACTTACAAAATTGCCTGTGTAAATATTGTTTATTATTCATACTTAATAAAACTTTATAATAATATATAGTCTTCAATATCATTTTATATTGAATCCATTTATTTATTCTTACATTTTTCAGGCATTTTTCAATGTGAATCCTGTTTGTTGCACACGTACTTTAGATCAAATTTATGAAACTTTGTCGATAAATCAAACTGTTCTTGAACGTGATAGCCAATTAATAGTTAAAGCATTAAATACTTTGTGCAATACTTCTAATTAAATGTACTATATGTTTCCCAATAGATTAATCTCAATTTAAGTCAACTGCTAATTGTTCCTGAAAATAAACATATCTGTGTCCACAGTTTTCGTCATAGTGTTTTTAATATTCTTAAGTGTTTATATTTTAAGCATAGTAAAACGACATTGTCATAATAATAGACACATTAACTAAAACCAACTAACCAACGTTTATACAGTGATAAAGGAAATATTTATTACAGACTGATATCAACTGATCAACCAATAAAAATCTGACAGCATTGGGATACAAAAGGTCAGCTCGAAAAACAGTGCACTGAGGATCTCCGTCCCTTGACGTGATGGCTGGAACATATGTCCCTGAAGGTTCTACCATGTCAGGCAGGTCGATTGGAGAACCATAAGACTAAAAGCAACTACCCAATGTCTGAGGGCGAATTCGTACTGCCGACTGCAGAGGGTTGTGACAGCAGTAAGATGTTTCCCTCGGACAATCAGCATCTGCAGTGATGTCGCCTTCTTACACGGAAGGAAGGGTTAGAAAAGGTCGACCCTAAAAATGTCACACCTCACCCTACCTCACGGATTTCCGTCTCCTTGGGTAAGGGTGCCCACTAAGGGCCTTTAAGAACGGAGCTAATCCTCAAACAACATTTCATAAAAAGGCCATGCGTGACCGGCCTCAAGCAGTTGTCCCTTGGACTCTGCGGTCACACAACCAAGTCGTTAAGACTAACACTAATCTACCTTTCTCTTCAGGTTCTTCAAGAAACAGCCTTCCACTGTGTGGGCAGCCGGGAAGTGACAACCGCCCTCACACCAGTAACAGCACACGAGATCAAATTGGTCAGAATCAAATCATTTCCACACCCACACATAGCTCTCTTATCTCCACGACTAACTGTACTCACATTCCTTTATCTCCCTGCACCTCTGCTGCAAACGATTCGAGTCATCGGAACGTTATACCTGTTATCTTGAAGCCCCGTTCTAAACTACATGTTGGAGCATTTAATGTACGGACATTGTGTCAAATAGGGCAACAGGCTTCATTAGCTAGGACTTTAGATTCTCGCTTAATCTATGTGTGCTGTATCTCGGAAACGCGCATACAGGATCCTAGTAAAATTATTAGTCTGATTTCACCTTATCAAAATAAAGAAGCAACTCCATTTACCCTTCGTGAATCCGGCAGCCCTGATGCTGCTTCCAGGGGTCTCGCTGGTGTAGGTATAGCATTGAGTCGTAGGGCAGAACAATCTCTCCTTGACTGGATCCCTGTAGATAGTCGCTTGTGCGCCGTTCGACTAAACGGGACAGTAAGGATTCGAAAGGATAGGGACACTCGTCGTTGTCTTTTCGTCTTATCAGCCTACGCCCCCACTGACTGCTGTCCGGATGATATGAAAGATGAGTTTTAAAGAAAGCTTTCGAACCTCCTCCGAAAAGCTAGGCGCTCTGATATAGTAATAATGGCTGGTGACTTTAATGCTCAGGTAGGAAGACTAAGCGAAAATGAAGGACACCTAGGTGGATGTTATGGTGTCGCGGATCAGAGAACAGACAATAGTGACCGTCTGTTGCAAGTATGTTTGAAGCTTGCTGGGCGTCGATTCGGGAAACCGCAACACATTGGATGCAAGTTGAACAACAAATACTAGCTACAACAAAGTTGCTGTTATACTCCGGCTATTAGTAAGAGAATGCCTCACATAAACGAGAGATTGCACTATTGCTGTCCAAAAGTGCATAGAATGCACTTGTTCCACTACCTTGGCAATAGACATGTGTCAAAGTCTTTCGATGCGGACTCCAACAAAACCAGCTTCCTTAGTGCCACAATTCACTGGGTTATGGAACTAACTGAATCGTCTACCAATTGAGCAGGCTATTATAAAAGTTGGTGCGGTCGATTAGGAAACAACATTTCAGCAATTCAATGGTTCTCTATTTAAGAATACCCAACAATAATGGTATTTGGAGATAAAAGCAGTCCTAAACGATTCACAGAACTCCGCCAGTAGAACCTTAGGGGCTACTGCCGGTCCCAAGCCCGGGTAAAGGAGGAGGGTTGGACATGAGGTTGGCGACCCTATTCCGTCAAAAACTAACTTGCCAAAAAAACGCAAATGTCAGCCGAACAAGAGCAGAGAAAGTTACCGCACAAGCTGCATACACAGAAGCAAACAGGGAAGTGAAGAAGAGCATCAAAGCTGACAAACGAAAATATGTGGAGGATATAGCAATGACGGCGGAAAAGGCTGCAAGAAAAGGAAACTTGAGACAATTGTACGAAACTACAAAGAAGCTGGCCGGTAACTATCGTAAACCAGAACGACCAGTGAAAAGCAAGGAAGGCAAAGTAATCAGCAACACTGAAGAACAGCGAAATAGGTGGGTAGAGCACTTTCAGGAACTCCTGAATCGACCAGCTCCACTGAACCCACCCAACATCGAAGCAGCATCCACGGACCTCCCAATTAATATTGGCGCACCTGCGATTGAGGAGATCAGTATGGCCATCAGACAAATGAAGAGCGGCAAAGCAGCAGGAGCAGACAACATTCCAGCAGAGGCAATGAATGCAGATGTAGAAGCAAATGCGAAAATATTTCACAACCTGTTCAAGAAGATTTGCGATGAGGAACAAGTACCATCAGATTGGAAAGAAGGATACCTGATCAAAATACCAAAGAAAGGCGATCTCAGCAAGTGTGAGAACTACAGGGGCATCACTTTTCTCTCAATACCAGGCAAAGTCTTCAACAGGGTATTGTTAAACAGAATGAAGGACTTCGTAGACGTCCAACTTCGAGATCAACAGGCCGGATTTCGTAAGGATCGATCATGTACTGACCAAATTGCAACATTACGGATCGTTGTGGAACAATCAATTGAATGGAACTCACCACTCTACATCAACTCCATTGAATACGAGAATGCATTCGATAGCGTGGATAGGAAATCAATGTGGAGGCTTCTTCGACACTACGGTGTGCCTGAGAAAATAGTTAACATCATACGGAATTCTTATGATGGATTCAACTGCAAAATCGTACACGAAGGACAGCTAACAGACTCTTTCGAAGTGAGGACCGGTGTCAGGCAAGGTTGCTTACTCTCACCCTTTCTCTTTCTCCTGGTCAACGACTGAATTATGAAGACGTCGACATCTGGAGGGAAGCACGGTATTCAGTGGACAGCTAGGACGCAACTGGACGATCTGGACTTCGCAGATGACCTGGCTCTTCTATCGCACACACAACAACAAATGCGAGAGAAGACGATCAGTGTAGCAGCAGCCTCTGCAGCAGTAGGTCTCAACATACATAAAGGAAAAAAGCAAAATTCTCCTATGCAAAACAACATGCACCAACCGAATCAATCTTGATGGAGATACCTTGGAGGATGTTAACACCTTCACATATCTTGGCAGCATCATCGACGAGAAAGGTGGATCGGACGCAGATGTGAGGACGCGGATTGGCAAAGCAAGGGCTGCATTTCTACAGTTGAAAAATATCTGGAACTCCAAACAACTTTCAACCAAAGTCAAAATCAGGATTTTCAATACAAATGTGAAGACAGTTATACTGTATGGAGCGGAAACATGGAGAACTACGAAAGGCATCATCCACAAGATACAAGTGTTTATTGACAGTTGTCTACACAAAATACTTCGGATTCGTTGGCCAGACACCACCAGCAACAACGTACTGTGGGAGAGAACAAACCAGATTCCAGTGGAGGAGGAAATCAGGAAGAAGCGGTGGAAGTGGATAGGACATACACTACGAAAAGCACCCAACTGCGTCACTAGACAAGCCCTCACATGGAACCCTCAAGGCAAAAGGAAAAGAGGAAGACCAAGGAACACATAACGCCGAGAAATAGAGAAAGACATGAGAAGAATGGACAAAAATTGGACGGAACCGGAAAGGGAAGCCCAGGACAGAGTTTGTTGGAGAAGACTGGTGGGCGGCCTATACTCCATTGGGGGTAACAGGCGTAAGTAAGTAAGTAAGTAAGTAAACGATTCACAGACAGGATTTATGTATAAATTTGACTCATTTCTTAGAGTACAGAAATATTTATAAAATGAATGAGGTAGCTTTGCGTGAGCTTGCTTACCTAAAACATTCGACGAGCGATGTTTCTTGATCTGTGAGTAGGTTAGAAGAAAGCTAAGCCGGCAATACCAAAACATGAAGTCACGGATAAGTGGACTGATTCATGATGTTACATGTAGACTACCTGGTTGGGGTCTGGGAGATGGCAGCAATTGATGGGTAAAGAGGTTGAACTTCATGGCTCAAGAAACAACCTTCCACAGTGTGGGCAGCCAGTAAGTGACAACCGCCCTCATACCCATAACAGCACACGAGACCGAATCGGTGAAAATCAAATCCTTCCTACACCCCGCTGGTGTATGTATAGAGTTGAGTCGTAGGGCAGAACTAGCGCTCCTGGACTGGATCCTTGTAGATAGTCGTTTGTGCACCGTCAAACTGAATTGGACAGTAAGGACTCGGAAAGATAGGGACACCCGTCGTTGCCTCTTCGTCGTATCTGCCTATGCCCCACTGACTGCACTTCAGACGAGGTGAAAGACGAGTTTTACAGAAAGCTTCCAGACCTCTCCCAAAAATTGAGCGCTCTGATATAGTTATAATGGCTCGTGACTTTAATGCTCAAGTATGTCGACTGAGTGAAAAGAAACGACACCTGGGTGGGTCTTATGTTGTCGCGGCTCAGAGAACTGACAATGGCGACCGTCTGTTGCAACTGTTCTCAGATAACCGTTTATTTCTAACAAGCACTAGCTTTAAACATAAGGAAAATCATCTTTGGACCTGGCGACCTCCAAATTCGTCTCAACGTTGGACCCAACTGGATCACATCGCCATCAACCACCGATGTAGGGGTTCGATAGTGGACTGTCGCTCGTTCTGGGGCACATGTTTAGATTCATATCAGGCTATAGTGTGAGCGCGTATTTGTCGGCATCTTACTGGACGCAGGAAAGACACCATAAGAAAGCCTCTTAGGGTTCTACTTAATGATAATAGGGCGAAGAATATATATCAGGAACAACTAGAAAGACAGTTAGGCGACCGACCATTTAAGCGATTCCCATCCGGAGGCAGGATGGAATGATATCAAGAAGGCTGTGGAAACAGTAGTGATATCTGCTAGTAAGGTTGACCATAAGGCTAGAATGAAGCCTTGGATCTCTGTAGCATCCACCGAACTGTTGGATGCCCGAAAACGCATCCCACCCGGCTCTGAACATGATGAAGAACGAAGTCAGCTTATGCGCAGGCTGATAAAATGCCTGCGCAACGACCGTGAACAGTGGTGGGTGGCGAAAGCAAAGGCGATGGAAAAGACAGCGGCAATAAGCAACAGTAGATAAATTTTCCGAATTATCAAGGAAACTGGTATTAGGAATCATAGTGTAAGTGAGACTATCTCGGAAAATGATGGGAATATTATTTATTCTTAATCCAGGAGACTGGATCGATGGGCCTCGATCCACTCTTCCGTTAGCCACGATCTCCAGTCATTCTAAATGGCAAATCGACGTAAGTCCCCCTAAGCTTGTGACAATCACAGGGGAATAAGTCTAACCTACATGTTTTCTATATTGTTAGCCTCCATTATACTTAGACGCCTTACTAGTGCTGCGTCTCTGTGCCGATGGGGCCTTGCAACCTGAACTGATGTACTTTCGTACGAAGTTCTGCGTTGTATCTGTCTGTCTCTTTGCTAATGTGGTATGGGAACTTGAACTGATGTACGTACCGCTGTCAAGTAAGAACATAAATGGCTAAATTTCGCAATAGTGATTTTTTCTCGAGAAGTAGACATTTTTATTGGGAACACTTACAGATCCCTTGTAATATTTCGTTCGAATATGAAATGGATGGAAAAAAATATTACTTACATGAAACATATAACTAGCGCATCTTATTATCATAACCAGCTGTATTTTATTTATGTTTCAGGCTTTTGATGCACCAGGCTAAAACAATTTTAACGTGAAATTATGATGCCATGTGTGTTCACTTTTACGTTCCTGTCGTTACTATCCGTTTCTTGATACAATTTCTGATATTGAACGTCTTTTCTATTTAATAATTTGTTTAATTCTTTGAAAATTCCATCAATTTCATTTTATTGTTAAGTGAGTCTCGTTTTTATTAAATACCTTGTAATACGGAAAACTTATCTTTTTAACCGACTTCGGGTCAAAATCATAGTCAGTTTTGTTAATATCACATGAACGTACATGATGAACGGAAAAAATGACATGAAGAACAAAGAAGATTATCTGAGAATCCACTCACTGTATCTTTACGGATTCACAGCACGGAGGTGGAAATAATTTAATTGAAAACAATAGTACCATTGTTCACAATAAACAAATAGAACATGATTGAAGAAGAGCGAATAAAATCGCCTACTAACGTCTGCTACCCCACGTGGAACACAGGCCACCGACCAGGATTCTCCAATCAACTATGTTCTAAGTCTTTTTCTCTCCAGTTATACCCAATCGCTGTTCATTCTTCTCATGTATATCTCCAATTTTCGGCACAATGTCTTCTTTGGTCTGCCTGTTTTCCTCTCGCCCCAACAATTCCAAGTTAGGGTTTGCCTCGTAGTGCAGTTGGGCGCTTTCCGCATTGTGTCCTATTCACCTCTAGCCATCGGATACACAGTGTCTTGTGTAGACAACTGTTAATAAACACCTGTATCTTGTGGATGATGGCTTTCGTGGCTCCATATTTCCGCTTCACATAATAGAACTGTCTTCAGATTTGTATTGAAAACCCTGACTTTGCTGTTGGTTGACAGTTGTTTTGTTTCGTTTGTTCTTCGATTGTAGAGATGCTGCGCCAGCCTTTCTATTCCGTATCTTTACATCCGCGACAGATCCACCTTGTTTATTAATGATGTTAACCAGGTGTGTGAAGCTTTCTACATCTGACTTGGTTGGTGCATGCTTTGTTATATTGGAGGATCTTGCTTTTCCCTCTGTGTATGTTGAGACCTACTGCTATTGTACTGGCCGTATTCATCTGCATTTTTGTTTTGCCGGATAAGAGGACCAGATCATCCGCTAGGTCTAAATCGTCCATCTGCAGCCTCGCTGTCCAATATATCCCGTGTTTTCTCTCAGATGTTGACATCTTCACAATCCAGTCGCTCGCCAGGAGACAGAAAGGGTGAGAGTAAGCACCCTTGCGATGAGTCTGTGAGCTGTCCTCCATGCACGATCTTGCAGTCTAGTCCATCTTAAGAATTCCGTCTGATGTTGACCGTCTCAGATACACTGTAGCGTCAAAGAAGTTCCCATAGGGTCAATCGTCCACTCTAGCAAATGCTTTCTCGTAGTCAATGAACTTGATGTAGAGTGGTGAAATCCGTAGTAGTGATTGTTACACAATGATTCGTAACGTCGCAATCTAATTGATCTGGAAGTTGGGCGTCTACAGGGTCCTTCATTCTGTTTAACAGCACTCCGTTGAAGACTTCCCCGGATAATGACAGTAGAGCGATGCCTCTGTAGTTCCCGAAATCGCTGAAATCTCAGTTTACGAAATTGAGAGGATGACTATCGAGTCAGTCAGTTACAACGTAGAACTTCGTACGTTCGTACATCAGTTCGAGTTGCCATACCACATACGCACAGAGACGTAATTGTCAATGCAAATCAGATAGTAGTAGAGTTAGTAAAAGTATTATCAGTAATCTTGCTGAAGAGAATGTTGACTGTCTTTGCAGTTACTGTTACATCTGCTTTTAGTGTCTCAGCTAGGATGTCGTCTCGCCTCGCCTTGTGTTTTCGTCGTACCAACATTGTCTTCTCATTTAGTACGCGTTTAGTGTTCTCGAATACCTGTATGGCGTCTGCTGACAAGTGAAATGTACGTGCACGTCTCGCAAGGCGTTTGTTAACGGTTGCAATATTGTTGCGCAGTTCGGAGTGAATCGTCTATAGTAGTTAATTAGCCCGAGGAATCGTCGTAATTTCTTTTGTGATTCGGGCAACGGGAAATTATGAGTAGCTGCAACTTCTGATGGAACTGGTGTGATACCTTAATAATTTATTGTGTCCTAAAAATTGCAGTGATTTCTTTCCAAATTCACACTTCTCAACGTTGATGGTGATACCGTGCTCTTGTAGTTTATTGAGCAACTGTCTTAGTTGTTGCAGATATTCTTCCGCTGTAGCACTAGCTACAAGTATGTCGTCGATGCATACATATACGCCTGACAAACCTCTAACAACCTGGTCGATGAATCTCTGGAAGGTCTGAGCTGCATTAGTTAATCCGAATTGCATTTGCGAAAATTCGAATAATCCGAATGGAGTAATCACGGCCGTTTTTGGTATATCTTCCTGCGCCTTTGGAATATGGTAATAAGCTCTAACAAGATCAATCTTCGAAAAGATAGTGGCACCTTCCATGTCGTTAGTAATTTCGTGGATGTGTGGCACTTAAAATCTATCAGTAATGTTTATTAAGAGCTCTATGATCTCTACATGGTCTGTACTGTCCATTCTCTATTTGTACCATGTGCAACGGAGATGCCCAGGGACTACTGGATGGCCGTATTACACCAAGTTTCATCATTTTGTCGAATTCCTTTTCGGGTCCAGGCTCTGTGGTCGTGCGCTATAAGGTGCGCCTCTTGTTACAACGTTATGTTGCACTGTATGTTTTAGATCAGTGTTGTCGTAAGACATTTTCGTCAAGTCAGCGTATTCGATTAGAAGCGATTTATTGTCTCGCGGATCCCAACCAGTTAATCTAGACCTACTAACATGGCTCAGTCCACCCTTAAACAAGTCTGACCCATAGTCGTAGATTTACTCGAAACAATACTTGTAAGATGACGAATCAAAAGCGTTAAGGAGCTGTGGCTTTAAAGCATTTACGATTTGAAACTACTTCGCCATCTAATTCTACATAATAGACATATTTCTAAACTTTACAGTAAATACTATAATCAGAAACATGCACATGAAAATCGTGACTCATTAGTTCAATATGGATCCATGTATTCAGCTTTGTCAACATCTTTTTTGCCTAGGGCTAGTGGTTGTACTCGATTACATGGATTGAAACAAACGGTAATCGAATATCCAAACTGCTAAACCACAACCAATAAGTATCGCATCCAAGTGTTTATAACGACTTCGAAATAATAGCATACCAATCAACATTTCTAATTTAGTAATGATAATCATTCTATGGAAAGACGAATACCTGTACTACTTATGTTATGAATTCGATGAAAACCAGTGAGTCACAGTCCAAAAAATATCCCCAAAAATAGTTAATATAAAAAAGATATTTGCTGAATGTTCCATGTTAGTAAGATCAAATGAAGTGTTATATAAGAACCTCTAAACCCAAATACAATGTACCAATTTTCAATGCAATTGAATGTTAAAAATGTACTGTGGATATATATTGGACAGTAAACAAGTCACCTTCAAATTGTATTGTTTTGTGTTAGGAAATTCATTGAAAACAATCAATCCAAGATAACCCAAAAAGATCATCAAATGCTATTCATTAGTCTAAGCAGGCAGTTGGAACAAGGTAAATAGCACGACTAGAACAAGATCTCTTTATTGGCAAACTACAACAATTCAAATGAAAGTTATAAAATTTGCAACATGTTATTGGCGAAAGACTAAATTAATGAAAAATATGAAAGTTCAGTATAATAACAATGACTGATGAAGGTAGGTGAGCATTTGTTCATCACAATGGGAAGAGGTGTGACAATAAAGAAAATATAGCAACTAAATCACAATATTTACATTTTAAAAAATAGCGACAATCAGATGGTGTATTGAGCATATTCGAAAAATATGATTCAAAACAAAAAGTGGTTTAAAATTTCAAAATGATAGTCTAGTGAACTGATCTTTTCATTTTTTGATCTTAAATCGGTAGATGATGATTCTGAATCTTCAACATCAACAGGCATAAAATGTAACTGCTTCTTAAAAGGTAGATTTAAGTGAGATAAAATATCCAAAAATTTATAAAAATCATTCGATTTCTGAGGTTTTAACTGATTCATTATCTGTATGTGATGTAAAATACAAAATGATAACATTAGCTTATCATGGATTTATGCATGACAGTATAGAAAATTTATAATTACTCGCAGAACGACTCTCATTGTTTCATTATATATATGTAAAACAGTTGTCTGGAGATGACTGTTTATCGGTATTTCTCCCTAAATATATTAGGTTAACATTTTCCCGTTGGAAGAGGCAGACTACCTGATTGGTATCTGAACGGTAGTTTTGACTAACAGTTTAGCCCAGAGAAACCAGTTGCACATCTATTCCTTCTTTATATCCACCTAGATTTCGAATTTCAAGGCCACTTAACACACTTTATTCCGCAAACTTATTTCTCCTTTTTAAGCTATACTCTCGCCTCGAAATACCAAATCAAATCGACCTTTACTTAAATTTTTGACAGTTTATCATCCCATACCTTTCATTCTATACCCATTTGTTCCCCACCCCCTCCCTACTGAAACAATCGCTCGTATTACAAACAGGAATATACCATGACTCGCATAACACTTGTACAATTAAGCTACACTTGAAACATTGAGTAAAATAATAAGGAAGTAATTAACGAAATATATCAGTTAGTAACAAAATACCTGGTAGGGAGAAGCATGGACGTGTATCATGGGACATGAAACGGGATCCAACAAAGACAGATAGCCAACTGAAACTGGCCATTGATGATGTCTACCCGAATGTCCAGAATCAAGCCAATAAATGTCTGTTATATTTCGAGAAAGTTCCATTATTTGTGTAGGAACATCTTTCCCAGAGTCAGTATATATTTTTCTAGAGTGCAATATTACTGATAGTTCATATAATAACTCAGTTAAAACACAACATCCTTTGCTGAAACCAATCAATCGTACAGGGATATCAGAGATTTGACAGTGTATGTTAGATTCGCAACTTAACAACTGTTTAACTGAGTCTGATAGTAAACAGCTTAAATGCATCATTCCTGTCAATTTACAGATCTCTACATTTTCAAATAATGGCACTCCTGATTTCGTAAAAGGCAGGAAATTAACATAACAAGCTATTGAACTAGATATCCAATGTGAAGCACGAATAACCCATATATGGGGATTACAGTCAAGAAAATGACTGGTATATCGTATATACAAATTTCGGGCAGTATTTTCCAAATTCCATCTAATATACTGGTTACTGAAATTACATTGACACATATTGTTTTCGTAATCCTAAAATTACCATAAGAATAATAATATGAATAAATCTGCTTTATATTAAAACCAAAAGATAATTTTAACATAAAATTAGTCAGGTTTTTGTAAAAAATGTAAAAATGTAGAGCCGGAAAAATCAAACCTGATTTGCCTTGAATAACATTGGTACAAAAAGTTTTATTTACATTCTTAAGGAAAGTTAGGGGGTTTTCTCGGTATTAAGAGCATCATTACTCTGCTTTGATTTACTTTTCATTTTCATCCTTTTTACGCTTCGGATTGCTTAACGCTAAGTTCCTGGCTGTCTGTGAGTGTATAAACAGGAGTTGAAAAATAATACATTTACTGACCCATAAGGGTTCAAATTATATTCAATCATTCATTAAGAGCCGCATCTAGTTGAAATATATCACATTATTCAGGAATTGATGTTATATTTGTATTTTAGATATGCTACATCCAGTAGAACCTTGGGGGCTACTGCCGGTTCCAAGCCCGGGTAAAGGAGGAGGGTTGGATATGGGGTTGACGACCCCATTCCGTCGAAATCTCACTTGCCAAAAAAACGCTAACCAGACAACATAATTCAAACCATTTTAACTCTGCCCTGGGAGTTGGAAGAAGAATTATGACGTCTCGTGATGAAAGCCGAGTTCCCTCGGAAGTCAAGGGGTCGATGTCTCTTCTGACAACCAGAGCAACCATTCCCTGAGGTACATGGAACGTTCGTACATTGTGGGAGACTGGAAGACTATTTCAAGTTGCGGCAGAAATGAAAAGATACAACCTCGAGGTGCTCGGCATCAGTGAAACGCATCGGACACAGGTAGGGCAACTGAGACTTGCTTCAGGGGAACTGCTGTTATACTCTGGTCATGAAGAGGAAAATGCTTCACATACACAAGGAGTTGCACTGATGCTGTCCAAACGTGCACAAAAGGCACTGATAGGATGGGAGTATCATGGACCCAGGATCATTAAAGCATCCTTCAAAACAAAGAAAGAGGACATTACAATGAACGTCATCCAATGTTATGCACCTACCAATGACTACAATGACGACGTTAAAGATCAATTCTACGAAAGGCTGCAGTCAATCGTCGAGAAATGTTCACCAAAGGATTTGACGATTCTTATGGGAGACCTGAATGCCAAGGTAGGCATAGACAACACTGGATATGAAGACATCATGGGACGACATGGACTGGGAGAAAGGAGCGAAAACGGTGAGAGATTTGCAAACATATGTGCCTTCAACAAACTGGTCATCGGTGGCACAATATTCCCGCACAAACGCATTCACAAAGCCACATGGATTTCACCGGATCACACTACTCAAAACCAGATTGATCATATCTGTATCAACAAAACGTTCAGAGGGACCATGGAGGATGTAAGAACCAAGAGAGGAGCTGATATAGCTTCAGATCACCACTTGCTGATTGCCAAAATGAAACTGAAGCTAAAGAAGCACTGGACAACGGGGCAGACAACATCACACAAGTTTAATACGGCCTTTCTTCGGGATACTGTAAAACTCAACGAATTCAAGGTAGCCCTCACCAATAGGTTCCAGGCCTTTCAGGATCTACTCAATGGAGAGGACGCAACATTGGAGAACAATTTGAAAGGGATTAAAGAGGCAATCACTTCAACATGTCACGAAGTTCTGGGTCACAAGTACCATCACAAGGAATGGATCTCTGTTGAAGAAAGGAGGAACAAGAAAGCAGCAATCAATGTCAGCCGAACAACAGCAGAGAAAGTTAAGGCACAAGCTGCATACACAGAAGCAAACAGGGAAGTGAAGAAGAGCATCAGAGCTGACAAACGAAAATATGTGGAGGATCTAGCAATGACGGCGGAAAAGGCTGCAAGAGAAGGAAACTTGAGACAATTGTACGAAACAACAAAGAAGCTCGCCGGAAACTATCGTAAACCAGAACGACCACTGAAAAGCAAGGATGGGAAAATAATCAGCAACACTGAAGAACAGCGAAATAGGTGGGTAGAGCACTTTCAGGAACTCCTGAATCGACCAGCTCCACTGAACCCACCCAACATCGAAGCAGCATCCACGGACCTCCCAATTAATATTGGCGCACCTACGATTGAGGAGATCAGTATGGCCATCAGACAAATCAGGAGCGGCAAAGCAGTAGGACCAGACAACATTTCAGCAGAGGCAATGAATGCAGATGTAGAAGCAACTGCGAAAATATTTCACAACCTGTTCAAAAAGATTTGGGATGAGGAACAAGTACCATCACATTGGAAAGAAGGATACCTGATCAAAATACCAAAGAAAGGCGACCTGAGCAAATGTGAGAACTACAGAGGCATCACTCTTCTTTCAATACCAGGCAAAGTCTTCAACAGGGTATTGTTAAACAGAATGAAGGACTTCGTAGACGTCCAACTTCGAGATCAACAGGCCGGATTTCGTAAGGATCGATCATGTACTGACCAAATTGCAACATTACGGATCATTGTGGGACAATCACCACTCTACATCAACTTCATCGACTACGAGAAAGCATTCGATAGCGTGGATAGGAAAACACTGTGAAGGCTTCTTCGACACTACGGTGTGCCTGAGAAAATAGTTAACATCATACGGAATTCTTATGATGGATTCAACTGCAAAACCGTGCACGGAGGACAGCTAACAGACTCTTTCGAAGTGAAGACCGGTGTCAGGCAAGGTTGCTTACTCTCACCCTTTCTCTTTCTCCTGGTCAACAACTGGATTATGAAGACATCGACATCTGGAGAGAAGCACAGTATTCAGTGGACAGCTAGGACGCAGCTGGACGATCTGGACTTCGCAGATGACCTGGCTCTTCTATCTCACACACAACAACAAATGCGAGATAAGACGACCAGTGTAGCAGCAGCCTCTGCAGCAGTAGGTCTCAACATACATAAAGGAAAAAGCAAAATTCTCCTATGCAACACAACATGCACCAACCAAATCAATCTTGATGGAGATGCCTTGCAAGACGTTAACACCTTTACATATCTGTGCAGCATCATCGACAATCAAGGTGGATCGGATGCAGATGTGAGGGCGCGGATTGGCAAAGCAAGGGCTGCATTTCTACAATTGAAAAATATCTGGAACTCCAAACAACTTTCAACCAAAATCAAAATGAAGATTTTCAATACAAGTGTCAAGACAGTTATACTGTATCGGGCGGAAACTTGGAGAACTACGAAAGGCATCATCCACAAGATACAAGTGTTTATTGACAGTTGTCTACACAAAATACTTCGGATTCGTTGGCCAGACACCACCAGCAACAACGTACTGTGGGAGAGAACAAACCAGATTCCAGTGGAGGAGGAAATCAGGAAGAAGCGGTGGAAGTGGATAGGACATACACTACGAAAAGCACCCAACTGCGTCACTAGACAAGCCCTCACATGGAACCCTCAAGGCAAAAGGAAAAGAGGAAGACCAAGGAACACATAACGCCGAGAAATAGAGAAAGACATGAGAAGAATGGACAAAAATTGGACGGAACCGGAAAGGGAAGCCCAGGACAGAGTTTGTTGGAGAAGACTGGTGGGCGGCCTATACTCCATTGGGGGTAACAGGCGTAAGTAAGTAAGTAAGTACGTCCGAACAGAATGACTCTCGACCGTAGCCGCTACCTTGACGTGGTGGTCGGGCTTGCCTATCATGACCCAGCCGAGCTATACTGGCTGGAACATATGTTCCTGAAGGTTCTACCATGCCAGACAGGTCGATTGGAGAACGATGAGACTAAAAGCAGCTACTCGAGGTCTGAGGGCGAAGTCGTACTGCTGACTTCAGAGGAATGTTCCCCTCGGACAGCCAGCATCTGCAGCAATGTTGCCTTTTCACGAGGAAGCAAGGGGTTAGAAAAGGTCGACCCTAAAAAGCTTCACACCTCATCCTGCACCTCACGGATTTCCGTCTCCGGCGGTAAGGGTTGCCCACTCAGGGCTTTTTAGAGCGGAGCTATTCTTCAAAAAAGTTTTAATAAAAAGGCCGTGCGTGACCGGCCTCAAGCAGTTGTCCCTTGGACTCTGCGGTCACGCACCCAGGAATCTAAGACCAACACTAATCTATCTTTCTTTTCAGGTCCCTCAAGAAATACCCTTCCACGGTGTGGGCAGCTGGGAAGTGACAACAGCCCTCATACCCGTAACAGCACACGAGACCAAATTGGTCAAAATCAAATCCTTCCTACACCCACACATACCTCTCTTCTCTCCACAACTAACTCCACTCACATTCCCTTTTCTCACTGCACCGCTAATGCAAACGAAGAAAGTTCACGAAACGTCATTGCTGGTCTCTTGAAACCCCGCTCTAGAATACATGTTGGAGCATTTAATGTACGGACATTGTGTGAAATAGGGCAACAGGCTTCATTAGCTAGGACTTTTGAATCTCGCTTAATCTATGTGTGCTGTGTCTCGGAAACGTGCATACAGGATCCTAGTAAAATTATTAGTCTGATTTCATCTTGTAAAAATAAAGAAGCAGCTCGATTTACTCTTTGTGTATCTGTACGCCCTGATGCCGCTTCCAGGGGTCTCGTCGGCGTAGGTATAGCATTGAGTCGTAGAGCTGAACAATCTCTCCTAGACTGAATCCCAGTAGATAGTCGCTTGTGCGCTGTTCGATTAAACGGGACAGTAAGGACTCAGAAAGATAGGGACACCCGTCGTTGCCTTTTCGTCGTATCTGCCCATGCCCTCACTGACTGCAGTTCAGACAAGGTGAAAGATGAGTTTTACAGAAAGCTTTCGGACATCCTCCGAAAAGCTAGGCGCTCTGATGTAGTAATAATGGCTGGTGACTTTATTGCTCAGGAAGGTAGACTAAGTGAACAGGAGAAACACCTTGGTGGGTGTTATGGTGTCGGCGCTCAGAGAACAGACAATGGCGACCGTCTGTTGCAAGTATGCTCAGATAACCGCCTATTTCTAGCAAACACTAACGTTAAGCATCAGGAGAAACATCTGACCTGGAGACCCCCAAAGCCGACCCAACGCTGGACCCAACTGGATCACATCGCAATCAACCACCGATGGAGGGGTTCGATAGAGGACTGTCGCTCGTTGTGGGGCACATGTTTAGATTCATATCATGCTCTAGTGTGAGCGCGTATTTGTCGGCATCTTACTGGACGCAGGAAAGACACTGAAAGGAAACCTCTTAGGGTTCTACTTAACGATAGCATAGCTAAGAATATATACATTTAAGCGTCCTACAATAGTTGTTTTCCTGGACCTAAAAGCGGCATTCGACTCTGTTGATCGTGAGGTTCTGTGGCAGTGTCTGTCATTGAAAGGTGTACCAAAAAAGTATATTAACCTTATACGAGCTCTGTGCTCGAACACTACTGGTCGAGTGAGAGCTTATAGCGGACTGTCACTGGAATTCTTTACTTCAAGTGGTGTCCGTCAGGGATGTCCACTCTCTCCATTCTTGTTTAATTTTATCATAGACATGCTCTTAGAAATAACCTTATCCTCGTCTGAATTTTCAGGAGTAGACCTTTTACCAGGAGGCTCGCTTATCGACTTAGAATATGCCGATTACATAGTCCTACTTGGTGAAGACACTGATAAAATGCATGTTTGAGACGCGGTTCTCACTGTCGAAATGCAAAATGTTGATTCAAGATTGGGCTGCATCGGCACCTGAACCAGCGATAGGGAGTGAAGTAGTCGAGCGTGTTGACCGCTTCACTTATCTTGGGAGTCTCATCAGTGTTGATAGCCTGGTGACTGACGAAATCTCAGCACGGATACAGAAGGCTCGATCGACTTTTGCCGACCTGCGTCACTTATGGCGTATGCAAGATATCCGTTTGCTGTCTAAAGGACCAGTATACTGTACAGTAGTTCGCTCCGTCCGACTTTATGGCTTTGAAACATGGCCAGTGAGAGTAGATGTTCGTAGGTTACTGGTTTTCGATCGTAGGTGTCTTCGAAGCATTGCTCGTATATCCTGGGACACCCGAGTGAGCAACGCTGTTATTAGGAAACGGGTGCTAGGTAAGAATGGCAGATCAATAGATGAAGTAATGAAACTTCATCAGTTGAGGTGGTTGAGACATGTGCTGCGTATGCCTAACCACCGACTGCCTCGACGAGCTATGTTTTGTAGTGTAGGAATAGGTTGGAAGAAAGCTAGGGGCGGCCAAACCAAAACATGACAGAAATCCATGAAGTCATTGACAAGTGGGCTGAGTCATGTCGGTAGGTGTCGACTACGAGGTTGGGGTCCGCGAGATGATAATAATCGATGGTTAGATACCCTGAATGACATAGCTGAAAACCGTTTGCAGTGGCGCCGGTGCATTTATTCTCTGTGCTCTCCCAAATCCTAATCTTCTGGATTCTTCAACACCTCTAGTTTTGACTTCCTAAACTTATCTCACTGAATCATACTTCTTGAATAATATCTTCTAATCCTAACCTCACCGGTTACTTCTAATACCTTTACTATCTCTACTGCTATCGGATTTGAATTGACAATTATATCTCTGTGCTGATGTGATATGGCAACATGAAATGATGTACTTACGAACGAAGTTCTACGTTGCATCTGACTGACTGACTGAAATCGACATACAGAATAAAAATAACCTTCCGAGACACAGTATTCATAAAACTCACCTGTAAATCACCTCCAAAATAAACCAAATTAACGGTAGGATTTGATTTAGTCCCGAGGAAAATTACATCGTTGCGTTTATTACAGTAACCTACACAATTCTCAAGTTTACGTTTTACCAAAGACATAGTGAACTATTTATCTTGAACTCTGATCTACAAACGGAAGGAAAGAGGATTTCTGAAAAAAAAGTGTTAACAATATATGCAAATGATTCTGAAATGTGATAATCTGTACACTAGTTTGTTGTTGGTTGGAGAAAACTGGTGGGCGGCCTATGCTCCATCGGGGGTAACAGGCGTAAGTAAGTCTGTTGTTTCAAAGACGAAATCCCGATTTACGAGCCATCACAGAAAAGTATTGATGTGATACCTATCAAATAACTAGCTTTTCTAGTAAAATACATAAGAACCATCGGACCTAATACAAACGTGCCTCTGTTCTAGTTGCTACACTACTGCAGCATGGCGAGACAGAATGAATTCGATGAATACTGCGAACTAACCTAGCATTCAAAATCAACGAGTGCATTGATTTCAACGAATTTCTTTATCTGAAATGCAATATACACGATCTCAGTTCATATAATATACAGGTGAAGTGAAATATCGATAAAATGCTTACGATCGGGAAAGGAAACATAAAAATACAATTTTCAGTCACTGTAGAAACGTGTCAGTTTTCTAAAGATTTTTTTAGATGGTGCTCATATTTAAACTACAAAATATGCAACAGTGGGTCGTAAGAAAGAAGATTAAGGTTTTTTGTTCACAATTGTAAGCATTGACCAGACAGGTTCAATCACAGAGAATACTTAATAATAAGGATCAATCAATCAGTCCGTCAGTTACAACGTACAACTTCCTACGTACGCACATCAGCTCAAGTTGCTATACCACACTGGCACAGACACTCAATTGACGATTCATATCCCATAGTAATAGAGATAGTAGAAGTATTAGCAGTTATTTTGGAGATAAGGGTTAGAAGACATCATTCAAGCAGTCGGATCTACTGAAATAAACTGAAAAAGAGAAAGATAAAGGTGATGATGAATCCAGGGGATTAGGATTTGAGAGAAGCCAAAGAATTGATGCACCTGCACCATTGCAAACGATTTTGAGCCATGTCGTTCAAGGTCTCTTCTAACCGTCGATTTCTACCATCTCGTGGACCCCAATCAGGTTGCCTACGCTTATCAACATGACACTATCCAGTTATCAATGACTTAATAAGTTTGTGTTATGTTTTGGTTTTGCGGCCCCTAGCTTTCTTCCGACCTACTACTAAACCACAAAAGATCGACGTCGATACAGTCGGTGGTTAGGCATACGTAGTACATGTCCCAACCACCTCAACTGATGAAGTTTCAATACTTCACATATTGATTTGCCATCCCTACCTATTACTCGTTTCCTAACGACAGCATTCCCTACTCAATTGTCCCATTATACACAAGCGATCTAACACTGGTAACCTGCTTATATTCTTACTGGTCATGGTCGTGCCATCAGCATACTCTAAGTTAGCAAACGTGTCTACTGGAACAACGTCCACTCCTCAAAAGTCAGACGAAGATAAAGTTAACTCTAAAAGCATGTCCAAGACAAAGTTAAACAAGAATGGAGTGAGTGGACAGCCCCGACGGACACCACTTGAAGAAATCAATTCCAATGACAGTTCGCCATGGTCTCTAATTCGACCAGTGGTTTTCGAGTAGCGAGGATGTATATGGTAACGTACTTCTATGGCACATCTTCTAACGACAGACACTGCCACAGAACCTCACGATCCACAGAGTCGAATACCGCTTTCAGGTCCAGGAAGGCAACTATTTCCGGACCCGGGAATGTGTCTGCGTTCCAGGACCTGTCGTAGTGTGAAAATTTGGTTTATGAAACCGTCTACAGGTCTAAAACAAACCTGGTTTTCTCGAGTCTGATCGTCATGAACTCTAGTTAAGCGTCGAAGTATAATCGAGGCTAACAATTTAGACACTATATTAGGTAAAGTGATTCTTCAGTGATTGTCACAAGAGGAAATTTGTCCTTTCTTATAAATTGGGACAGTCAGGTATTGAGATCAGTCAGATGGGATTACATTGGTCCTTCTTTGGGATTACACGTAGTTCCCAGATTCTACTTGAGATGTCAGTCAGTCAGTCAAACTGCCAAAACTGTACCACCATCCTGAGAAATCTGAGGAGTCAATCGATTATGATCCACTGCTCTTTCTCTCTTTAGATCTCCTATAGCATTTTCGACTTCATAAAGAGTCGGAGGACTTGCGTCAGTTCGGTATATGCTACTGAAACCCACTGATTCTGCTTAACCTTATGATTTACCTTGCTAGCGGTTATCACTACTGTTTCCACAGCTTTCTGGATGTCATTCGAAGCCGCCTCAGAGTGGGTATCACTCATATGGCCGCCTAACTGTTTTTCTGGTTGCTTTTGAAATATATGCTTAGCTATGCTATCGTTAAGTAGAACCCTAAGAGGTTTCCTTTCAGTGTCTTTCCTGCGTCCAGTAAGATGCCGACAAATACGCGCTCACACTAGAGCATGATATGAATCTAAACATGTGCCCCACAACGAGCGACAGTCCTCTATCGAACCCCTCCATCGGTGGTTGATTGCGATGTGATCCAGTTGGGTCCAGTGTTGGGTCGGCTTTGGGGGTCTCCAGGTCAGATGTTTCTCCTGATGCTTAACGTTAGTGTTTGCTAGAAATAGGCGGTTATCTGAGCATAGTTGCCGCAGATGATCGCCTTATCTGATCTTTAAGCCACGACGCCACAAGATCCACCCAGGTTTCATTCGTTCTCACTTAGTCTACTTATTTGAGTATTGAAGCCACCAGCCATTACTACTACATCACAGCGCCTAACGTTTTGGAGGAGGTTCGGAAGATTTCTGTAAAATTTATCTTTTACCTCATCCGAGTTGCAATCACTAAGAGTGTAGGTAGATACGACGAAGAGGCAACGGCCTGTACTTACGAAGATCAATCTCAGAATTTCGTGACTCATGTTGACGATTCAAATAGTTGGTGTATGCCAAGAGTGGAGTAGGACTTACGTTCTTTTTCTAATCATCTGAATACTAAAAATTGGATAGAAAATGTTGGTGATCTTAATACGTACTTGATAGTTCGATTTAAGTAAACGATGAATCTCATTAAGCCAGTTTGAAGTTCTTTAAACTATAAGACTTAACAAATCTTTACCAAACAATAAATAAATACGGGGAAAAATGGAGTTGACCAGACACAAAAGGGGAATTTTGTGATGTTACGTGTGGGGACTGATATTTGTACCCGACTCATAAAAGGGGATATAGACAGACAAACAGATACAACAAAGAACTTTGTACGTACGTACATCATTTAAGTTTGCCATACCGCATTAGCACAGAGACGCAACTGTCAGTTCAAATACAAGAGTGATACCGATGGTAGAAGTATTAGCAGTCATGGAGAAGATTAGGGTTCAAAGATATGATTCGAGAAGTACAATTCAGTGAGATAAAGTTAGAAAGAGAAAGATAGAGATGATGAGGAATTCAAGTTAGAATTAGAGAGAACACAAAGAGTGGATACACCTTCACCATTGCAAACGATTCTGAGCCATGTCGTCCAAGGTCTCTAACCATTGGTGACTTTCGCCTCGCGGACCCCAACCAGGTACCCTACATCTACCAACATGACTCAGTCCACTTGTCAGTGACTTCATGGATTTGTGCCATGTTTTGGTTTGGCCGCCCCTATGATCACTCAACAAAAGGATTTATTCACTTTTATTCATTTACAATACAAATTCCAGTACAATAAGGTACAAGTATCGGTCACAAGTAGATCGATTACATTTTGGAGAAATAAAGGAGAGTACAGTAGTATGACCAAAAAAGAATGGACAGGAAATGTTATTTATTAAGAGCATTGTTTAGAAAACGATATAAGGGAAGATTTTCCAAATACAGCACTACCATTAAGAGTATAATAAAAATATCACAGCACAATTGCCATTGGCTTCTGTTCTGAGTCATAAACAATAAAGTCTCAACTAAGTTGGATCTCATCTAAAGCATCAATGGATGGGTCGAGATAAACTAACGAATACAAGTGCTGAACAGCTTCCTTTCACACCGCGGTGCCATATTATGAACTGATCGCCCAGTCTTAACATTTGTAAATAATAAGTAGTGTGGGAGACAGTAAGATGATATTGATTCTTTCCCCAGATAATAGATTAACGACACCGAGGAGTACAGACATCTTATTTATTTGAAAACAGCGATTATTATGCATCCTGGGTAATAACCAACATGTGGGCAGTCAGCCACCAGCAATTTATTAAAGATGCAGTGAGTGTTGTGCTTATTACCACTGATAAGTTAATGGTTAGAATAACTGCCATATGTTTGCTATGCAGCATGACGACTGAAGGACGATACAAACCCATGTTAAAAACTCATCGCTTGCACTTGCTGATCTACGCACTAATGAACTATGTATACGTGGTTTTAACTCCCTGCAAACCTTCATATCAGTGTTATTGAAAATCGTAGTATAGTAACATGATTAAGATGAGAAAAAGTAGGCAAACCATGCATTTACATTATTAAAGTGAATCAATCGAGAAGCACTTACACGAGCATGAAATTGTTACAACCTGAAAGTTGGCACCATAAGCTAGTACAGCAAGGTTTTAAAGTCGTTAACGTAAGGTGGTGCAGAATGTTCATAACGTGACATTTATACTTGTTTAGTTTTGAACCATTTTTCACTGCCCATTCCTCAATAGATGTAAGGTTCTTTTGTAGCTAAGTCGAATCCTCTTCGCGTCCAATGGACCTCCAGATCTTTGTATCGACTGCGTAGATCAATACCGCCAACCTAACTTTGTACAACAGATCGTTCTAACTAGCTAGAATTGTGTAGTGAGCAATTCGATTAGACGGCTAGACTTGTTGTTGGAGTGAATCACCTAACAAAATGCGTACACATTCTTTGTTCAATCGGCATTAAGCCAATGAAATAAATGGTGATAACCTAACTACCCAATTTGTCAGTAGTTGTTATATCAAAATACCTTCCAATCTTACTGCTCTTACAGTGGTAAATTTCAGGGATAACCGTGAGTTTAAGCATCCCTGTCCTATCTGAAATCAATTTAAACCCCAATATCCCATGTCCAATATGTTTTTCACGAGCTAGCATAAACCAATCGCTTTGTTTGCGCTCTATTTTGTTCTTTCGCTACGGTTCGTGGTATCTGGTTGTGTCCAATGAATGGGAGTCTAACCACTCGACTATCTAATTTTGGTCATTTGGCAGTTGGTTGTGAGTTTGTATATCACGGGATTTGAATGAATACGTTCGTTTCAGGGCAGTAGGGTTTCTGGATACCAGCAGCTATCACATTACCAGAGTGTTAGTTGTAATGTGGAGAATAATGAGGAGAAAATTCTAATGCTAATAAGAATATATACAATATAAACAATAAAACGTACATTCACTCACTCACAAACATAGGACTTGTGGACAAGTTACTGGATACACGCAAAACTACTTACTAATACGGTCAAAGGTATAGTTGCGATTTTGGATTACTTTCGGACTCTATTGCTTGTAGTTATATTTTAGTGACCTCACATATATTTGAATTCGCTTACATTTTATTAGGTCAAGCCTTTCGGTTAATTTATTTAACCAGGCCATTTGTATAACAATAACTCACATGTACCATTGGCTTTTATTATTGTGTGGTTTGTATGAATTGGTATGACTGAACATTGTTTACACCTACGCACATATTCATCCTATTCGCTTTAATATTAGTCTCTTAAATATCACGATGACTCAGGCATTTTTCTTTGTTTATATGCGAACATTTTAATCTCATTCATTCATTCGCCTATTCGCATATACGCTCGCTAGTGTGCCTGCCAGGTCTACTTGTGTGTGCATGCCTATCTCGCTGGTCACATGTCTGTTTTATTTTTGTACGACTATAAATTCTTAGTCATGCTTTGTCTCAGGAGTTGGCTCGCTAGCCTCTCCACTTCGTTTTATTCACTTTGTTTCTACGCTTCGCTTTGTGGTGTGTCCCAAATAAACGTATTCATTACTTCGAACTCATCTTCTGATTAAAACCGTCAGACGCTACTTTGTAACGATTGTCTAGACGGGCTAATTACCGAGCTTTAGAACACGCAGATATTTGGTCACCACAACTACTACTAAATTCTTCTTTTCTCAATCCCTATTTTGCGTTTCTCGTATCTTAACTATCTCGGTCTTCACCTCCCAATCTCCCTGGTATCATGTTAAGTAACAAGGTCGATAGTACATCTTACACTATAACAACCAGGAAAACCTGTAGAGGCATAAACCCCATGGTTATTACTTACTACTTACTTACGCCTGTTACCCCCAATGGAGTATAGCCCGCCCACCAGTCTTCTCCAGCAAACTCTGTACAGGGCTTCCCTTTCCGGTTCTGTCCAATTTTTGTCCATTCTTCTCATGTCTTTCTCTATTTCTCGGCGTTATGTGTTCCTTGGTCTTCCTCTTTTCCTTTTGCTTTGAGGGTTCCGTATGAGGGCTTGTCTTGTGACGCCGTCAGGTGCTTTTCGTAGTGTGTGTCCTATCCACTTACATCGCTTCTTCCTGATTTCCTCCTCCACTGGAATCTGGTTTGTTCTCTCCCACAGTACGTTGTTGCTGGTGGTGTCCAAGTTTCCGCCCGATACAGTATAACTGTCTTGACACTTGTATTGAAAATCTTCATTTTGATTTTGGTTGAAAGTTGTTTGGAGTTCTAGATATTTTTCAATTGTAGAAATGCAGCCCTTGCTTTGCCAATCCGCGCCCTCACATCTGCATCCGATCCACCTTGATTGTCGATGATGCTGCACAGATATGTAAAGGTGTTAACGTCTTGCAAGGCATCTCCATCAAGAGTGATTTGGTTGGTGCATGTTGTTTTGCATATGAGAATTTTGCTTTTTTCCTTTATGTATGTTGAGACCTACTGCTGCTGAGGCTGCTGCTACACTGGTCGTCTTCTCTTGCATTTGTTGTTGTGTGTGCGATAGAAGAGCCAGGTCATCTGCGAAGTCCAGATCGTCCAGCTGCGTCCTAGCTGTCCACTGAATACCGTGCTTCCCTCCAGATGTCGACGTCTTCATAATCCAGTCGTTGACCAGGAGAAAGAGAAAGGGTGAGAGTAAGCAACCTTGCCTGACACCGGTCTTCACTTCGAAAGAGTCTGTTAGCTGTCCTTCGTGTACGATTTTGCAGTTGAATCCATCATAAGAATTCCGTATGATGTTAACTATTTTCTCAGGCACACCATTGTGTCTCAGTCGACACAGTCCACCTTCCAGAAACCGCATAAGAACGACTGCTTTGCCTGCTCATTACCAGTCAAAATCAATGGCTTTGCTTCTGAATGCAACTTCGGTAGTACATGGGTACATTGTCACTGCGACACTACAGTACCTAAAGAGTACTACGGATTCATTCTGAGTCACCCCTGCCTATGGTTCTGGTACATCTGTCCTCGGTGTAGAGTATCTGAGGCATTGGAAAAGCCACAGGTCCCACCCAAAATCAGCTCTGAAGTCCAAACGACCAAATCAAAGTCGCCTGGCACTAAACCAGTAAAACAAGTGACCAAGGCTACCACAACCCTGCCCAGCACACCGACAAAAATCCCGGTTGTTGTCTCTTAGCAATACAAAACAGTGGGTGAACGTGAGGAAGGGAAATAATTTAATTTTTTAATTTAATTTAATAATTTATTCTCAAATAACTAAGTTACAAGAGTCACGCCAGTTTACAGGCTAGATCAAATTGTCACAAATGCTGTAACAATTACTGTAAAAGTTATAGCAGTTAAATTAAGTATAAGAGACAGTTTCTGATTGCATATTTACACCATGTCACTGACAGAAACAGTATTATACAGCCACATTTTCAATATTAGAGTACAAATGAGGAAGGTGCACAATAGGTTCTATTGGCGATTGGCCGAGATCAATAGTGAATTTGTTGGGAAAGGTCATATGGAACGCGCTTGATACGAGCTGTGATCCAGACAGTCATGTACATTGGGTGCATGTTCCCTAGAGTTGCCAAGGATTTCCCACCGTGAATGGGGTTCTGAAAAGGAGAAGAGAGAGAGGAAAAGGCAGCAGTGTGGCAAGTGTATATATATAACCAAAGCACTACTTAACCTGTCATGTTAAAGTAGTCAATACAGTAGTAAGTCAAGATAACATTCATACTGACCACTTAAATTAAAGTAAATTATGGGAATATAAGAATATAACGCACAGATAAAGGAGTACAGCAAAAAGAAGGGAGAGTTGTGCAGTGTCAGGTGGATAGAAGAGAAGTCGAAGTAAGAAGCTGGATTTATGTACGTTGAAATCGAAATTCTAGTTAAAAGAGTAGAGTTTGTAAAAATAAATATTTGACGAATAAAATCTCGCACTGTCTAACTGTTTTTTTTCTTTATTATTGAATGCCAACCTCTAAGTCATACTGTAAGCGCCTGAGTAAGAATGTTGCAGGTGTCTCGACAGAATAGCGACCTCAGCATAGTTTTGGAAACATGAACCACAGAAGTAGCAAGCGTATAAGAGCAACCTCAGTGTTACTGATTAGTCGTCTCATCAACCTAAAGAGCCGAAAGCAAACAAAATGTTCTGCCCCACAAACATGGGTTGTTTGAAGTTATCGCCCATACCATCAATGTTTGCTGGTCAGTAACTCCACCCTCCCTCCTTTCGTGTTGTTAGGCTCATGTTAAATGTTTAAAAGAAGCTATTGAGTTCTACTTGGTGTTCTATGTCTCGCATCCTGTTGAGAAACACTATTTCTGCAAGTTCCTTACACAAACTCGTCTGGCTATTACAACTTATGAACTATTGGTTAGGCATCAATGCTATACAGTTAACAGTTATGGAGAAATAGTAAGAATTTTCAAACAAGATATAAGCATTTTGAATGTAGTGGGGAAGATGTACTTAACTAGCTAAGCAGGAGATATAAAGAGTATCGCGGTTAAAAGCGGAGCAATAGATAACACTAAGGGGCCAAGGTAAGTCAATAGCGTGTAAGTGAGAACAGTATAATTGATAATAGGCAATGTGAAACTCACACAGTTGTAAGTGTTGATAAGGTTGCGCCCAGGAGAGTAGAGTGCATTCTAATCAACCAGTTTACAGTTGAACAGTGTCGAACGACCCAGTTAGTAGAGTAACTTGTCTATTTCAAATAAAAACTAAAGAGATTTATATACAACTAGAAAAATTAGTGCTACTTGGGAGTGTAAAAATAACTAAATAAGACGCAGCACTGAGTTCATTGTGTTTAAAGTGTATGCAGAGCTATTAATATGATCAACACCCCAACTCACAAGCGGCTACCACCCAAGAACAGGGACGACAGATTAAACTCACTGATTTTATTTAATGTCCCAGTATCGGAAGGAGGATTGCCAGAAGGTAGGGCTGCCTTCGACAAACAGCAGTGGGATAAACAGTGCATAGTGCACACCACGCCTGAGGCTGTGACATTTAGGAACCGGGAAGACTTGACTGAAACACTCCAAGCTTGGTACAGTTCGAGGAACGATCTGTCTAATCACATCAGGTGTTGCAAAAGCCGAGCTAGATCTGTGAGACAACAACAGGGAGGCCAAAATGAACGCACAAAACTGACATTTAACCTCGGTCAACAACCCCTGGCACAAGATACGATTAAACTCACTGTACAGGCAGAAAACCTGAAGAGGTCGATTCCCACAGAATTGGCTGATTCGGTTTGAATAACCTGTTTGAAAATCCGACAACGGTTGCTGCTGCGGAAGTGCACCAAGTGCCTCTATAGCAACGTAAGAGGACTAAGGGGTGAGCTGTTAGAAATCAGGAATACATGCTCTCACATGGATCTGAAGATCATAATCCTAACTGAAACATGGCTATCCCCTGACATTGCGGACGAAGAAGTGAGTTTGCCAGGCCTGACACTCTTCCGAGGCGATAGGGAACACCAAACTGGAGGTGGAGTGGCGATATATATAAACAGCCACTTAGAAGTCAAGCGGTTATACGACATCCAACTAACCATGTTGGTATTGTTTCCACACAGATGGCACGAAACATTTGATTGGAGTGATTCACCGACCCCTCTGACCT